AATGTGTTCTTAATCTATAATTGAATGTCCGTGTTACTATAATAATTCCATTTTTAACTGTAACTACTTATGGAAACAAACAAAAATGTCTTTGCCTTTTTGTTTTATAAATAGTTGTTAAAAAAATTGTATTTATTTTTTATTTATTCTTGACCTGAAAAAGAATAATGTAACTGATTTTGTTGTGAGTTATGAGTTAGATTTTCTTTACTAATAATATCCTTACGTCCCTTTTTAGGACGTAATTTTTTGTTATTTGAAGCCCCACTCTGGCTTTTGCCAGGGGCCGCAATATAGGCAGGCCATAAGTATGGCCAATTGTCTGAACGCGGTTTCAGGGACCTCTCCACGGTGATCCTCATCCGCATGGTTACACTTTGTGTCATCGAGTGTTTGTCGCTTGTGTGATGTCCTGGTGGGGTAGAAAGTCAGTCAGTCACAGCTATTACCGGTCATACTCTTGTGGGATGTAAGTTTTCGTTATCTGAAGTCCTACCCTGGCTCTTTTAGGGGCCGCAATATAGCCCGGCCATAAATATGGTCTAAAGGCTGAACGCGGCTTCCGGGACCTCTCTACGGGTGATCCTCGTCCACATAGTGGCACTATGTGTCATCGGGTCTTTATCGCTTGTGTGATGTTCTAGTGGGGTACAATGTCTTACCAAAAAAAATTATCTTCACAACACTTCGGAGACATCCATAGGCGCTCTGATTCCCCTTTCAACATATCCATCAGCCTCGTGAGGTTAATAGTGCCGGTCGTATGTTGGTTAACAAGTCTTCGTGTGCGTCCGGTATTCTTTTCATGCTTGGCTGCTGATCTCTACTCCCAATTCACGTATTCTTAGAAGTGATGTGGACACATTGCTTCCAAAATCATCAGAACGTACTCTCTCTCTCTCTCTCTCTCTCTCTCTCTCTCTCTCTCTCTCTCTCTCTCTCTCTCTCTCTCTCTCTCTCTCTCTCTCTCTCTCTCTCTCTCTAAGGGCAATGACAATGTCTGCGTGATCCATGGGTCGGCCATCTCTAAGCACCTGGAGGTCTATAAGCTCTTTTATTACCAACAACGACTGCATGGCCTGGGACGAATATGAAGGTAACTGCACACACAGAAGAGTTTTGCAATGATTTAAACTACTGTCTGCGTAACAAGCCTGCCTCGACCTATCGAATCATGCTAAAGAATCACTCAGCACACACACGCGGGAATAGTCCTGTGATCACATCAAAGCTTGTGTCACAGCCATCACTTCCATCGTCATGCTGTTGGTGGTTATAGAGAAGGCACCGCTAGCTTCCTGAACTGCTCTGCCTGAAGAGCGAGCTGTCAATGCCCATGCACTCTTATGTCCTCGTATAACGGATCCGTTTGTGAAAATCACCACATGTGTCCCAGCTGACTTGCCACTGATAGCGCGCATAACTAGGCATTGACAGCAGCTGGATTCTGCTCCCGTCAACTGCTATCGAGCTTCACGACACAGGAGAATGTAACTGGGCGCTTTAGACGCTGGTATTCATTCCTCACCATCCCCTGCCCTACCCAGCCATGATTTGCTCCTTTTAAGCCTGTTGCCCTTTTTCTTGAAGAGCGTGTGGTGCAAAGGGTGCTTCAGATCTGAGCTTATCTTGAGGTATGCACGAGCCCTTTAGATCTGAGCTTTTCTTGAGGTAGGCACGAGCCCTTCAGATCTTGATCCTGTAGTTCATGGTAGGAAAGTCAAGAAAGTACCTCATTGCTACACAAGAGGTGTCTCCAGTAGGAAATAAAATTAAAGTAATGTAAAGGACCCTTTTCCATGCCTTTAGGCATGGAGGGCATATATGGCTAGACCTATATTTTTTATAGACCAATCGGCACAAGGTGGGTGATGTGATCAGAATCACGCCGGCCGCCTTTACTTCCAGGGTTTGCACCCGGTAACCGGTGTCTCCAGTACACCCCATAATAATGCGCATTGCTTCATTTTGCACCTTCTCAAGTCTTTCAATTTAAGTATGGCTGACAGTGAGGATGGCAAGAGCATATTCAATGGGAGAAAGTACAATTCCCTGGAACAGAATCAGAAGCAGTCTCTGCTGAGGACCCTCATTAAAGACAGGTGTTTGTGTGTTTTTGTTATGACATGGTCAACATGTTCTTTAAAAGATAGGCTGCGATCAAACTTTATTCCGAAGTATGTCATCAGATTTGTTCTCATTAAAATTTCCTCGCGGTTTTCCACTGCTGGTAAGTCTGCCTTCAATATATGCGTGTTCAAGGAGAACCACGTTACTGAGGCCTTTCAAGGGTTGACATGAGCATTCTTCTTCTTCTTCTTCTTCACTTCCTGTTTTACCGCTGACATGAGCATTAGAGTCTGCAAACCAGGAGGAGATGCAATTACGACCACTCTGCATTTACTAGGCAATCTCTTGACGATCTCTTCCATGTCGAAATACTTAGAGACCATCAGGAAATAACAAGGTCCTGCCACCTCCGTACAACTGCTGCTCAGTTATCGGCAATGTGTTACGTTGAATGGCACTGCAGACAACGGAGAACCTTGAGGCAATCCTGGGCTGATGGATATCGGTTCAACCAACAACCACACCTGAGTGTCGCCCGTCTCTGAAAAAGTGCTGCGGCTACTTAGCGGGTGATGATGGGAGATATTGCAGTTGGAGAAGTATGTCTCTCAGTCTGGTTGCCTCATTATTCGTGTCGGTTTGGTCCAAGTAGCGCTGAAGGAGAGCCTGTTCTTTATCTGCATCAGATTTCTGCCCTGTCAGATCTTCGCTTTGAAAGTCTGGGATACCCCGTCGTCGTTTGGTGGCATATATTGCCCGATGAAGTCACAAAAATGTGGCAAAAGACCCTTCACATTACAGTAATCGTCCCAATACTCATTCTTGACCTGCTTTGCGCATAGCTTAAAAGCCATCGTTGTCTTATTTACTATTTTATTTTAGGGCACTCAGGAAATCAGGCTGCGACGTGCTACTCTTCCTGGCTTTCTGCCACATCTTGACAGCCTGCCTTTTTCCCAACCATACCCTTTCAACCTCTTCATCCCACCACGGTGACTGAGTCTATTTCTTTCTCTGTCTGCTGAAGATATTTACTTTGCAGCGTCTAACTTTGCTGATAGTAACTGATTACTACAAATACAAATGTACTCATTTTCAAAAGGTATCACAACCCCAGTCATCTCTTTGCGGGATGCAATTGTGTGTTATTGTGAAGCCCCGCCCTAGTCTTGCCAGGGGCCGCAATATAGCCCGGTTATAAATATGGTCTAATGGCTGAATACGGTTTCTGGGACCTCTCCACTGATGATACTTATCCACATGGTGGCATTTTGTGTCATCGGGTGTTTATCGTTTGTGTGATGTCCTAGTGGGCTAAAATGCACTACTACTACTAATTTTCAAAACTGTTTGACGATCCCCTTGAAACCTTTTCACATCCCCTAGAGCCTTGTCTCCCCAAACCACCCCTTTCTGCAGAATGTAAGACGGGCCTGTGTGCCCAATTCTTAACCCTTTGAAAATAAAGTTTGTTCGTTTGTTTGTTCGTTTGCCTCAGGTTGGAGACCACTGATCTATACAAATGGTTCTGTGTTGAGAGGCAGGAGAAGTGCATGGGATTAATTTCAAAAGCGAATGGACGACCCTTAGCGGGAATGATATCATAACATCTTGAGAATGGACGTTGAGGTGGTGACTCATGTCTGTCGGTGGCTTTATGACCAGCTGTTGTCATATGTACTTGCTTTGCCAACTATTATTATATATAGGCTCAATGTGCTGAAAGGAACGTCATACTTCGGAGTGGATGCAAACAAGATGCACCTCCTGTAATGATGCTCTAGAAATACCGAAGGGTCACTGACTGAAAAGAGAAAGGTCATGGACTGGCCAAGCTGGTCACGGATGGTGACGAAGTAAAGTTACAGATAGGACACAACTATAGATGTGTCCAGGATTGAGAAAAATGGGTGAGGGGAGGAGTGGGTCAAAGTGTTCGAGCAGCAATGCGACTTATGTAGTGTTTTAGTTACCCTGAGCAATATAGGGACAAAAGAGTACATGAACTGGCCAGCAAGTGCTGCAGAATCAGAGGTTCACAAAATAATTTATGACAATTCCACCCAGATTTTGTGAGTATCTATAAGATGGCTCTGTGCTGAGAGGCGGAAGAAATGTGTCAGGATTTATAACTAAACCAAGTTGACGTCGTTACGTGTAACAAAGCCTGACATATGATGCCACAATATCTAGTTAGAAAATGGAGGTAGAAACGGTCACTACAGCTTTCACTGGCTTGAAAAACAGCTGCATACACATAAATGATTGTAACTGACTAACAAAGCATGTTGAGAAAGGTGGAGAGAGGTATAGCCCCTGCAGAGCGGCAAGCGTCACTTCAGAGGTAAAAGGTAGTAGCGTCATTTGGATATTTTCTATGCGGTATGAAGTTGTCTTGCGAGACGAATAGGCAGATAGACAGGCTGGTTCTTCACCACTTGGTGTAATCTGATGCATAACAAGCAGATGTTGTTTGGCCATTTGGGAGCTAGGAAACTGCTGAGGCACATATGGGTCAGTATGGTCTGAACAGAATGATACACACAGAAGTGACCGCTGTATCCGGGCGACACTCAACACTGTGAGGTGAGAGGTGAGACGGACAGGCAATCAGTCTGTTAATTGTACACTCATAATTAGAACTCTGCCCTTGTTGCTAATGATGGGCACGTAGCTATTATTTAAATGTCCCTAGTGCTATTTTGTCGGTTCTTTACTCATAACTCACAGCACATAGATATTACTCAGACACAAATGTAACAAACGAAAGGTAATGGTCATAAACGTTCCTGTGGTTTACTAGCCATTGTCTGACATTTTCATTTGACCTTTAGAAGGGATAACACTGGAGAAGGCAGCTCCAGTATACTGTAAACTGCTCAAAAACCAGCTGATCTCACGACTTTTAACGGTCGTCTAGGGTTGATGGATCAATAGCTACTCCCATCCAACCGAATGGTATCGATTTTATCTCCGTGAATGACAGTCATCTTGTCAATCCACAAAACGAAATCAATAACTTTAGTCAAAACAACAGGATCCATCAGATTTGAGCAGCCACTAACGGGGGTCACTAGGCCAATAAGGACTCGAGAACCTGAAATAAACATGAAGTAAAAGCATAACACATTTCATCCTAGTTTCGACCTCAAAAATAAACATGGAGTAAAAGCATAACAAATGTCATTCTAGTTTCAACCTCAAAAATAAACATGGAGTAAAAGCATCACAAATGTCATCCTAGTTTCAACCTCAAAAATAAACATAAAGTAAAAGCATAACAAATTTCATCCTAGTTTCAACCTCAAAAATAAACCTGTCACCATTTGGCTGCACTTTTCCTGCTATACCCGCAAATTTACCCCCTTTTTTTTTTTTTTTTCTTTCAGAAATGAACTTTGCTTCCCAGTGGACCCATCTTAAAATCTATACCGGGAAAAATTCTGGAAGGAAAGGTGGTCATGTGTGATACAGACCACATCATCAGTCCATTGGTCAATAAAATATGAGTCAATTTTCAAATATCCGATATTCCACTGGCGTACAAAGTTAGGTTTTTTTTTTTTTTAAACACAGGTTAGATTACTGCAGACAGACCTGATAACTCCCCGTGTGGGTTCCGGGACCGCATTGTGGGTTCCAGGGCCCCAATGTGGGTTCTGGGACCCCCATCTTGGGGTAACAAGAATAGACTCACTGCCTACCGAAAGCATTTCGTAAGATCAACTACTTGGGAGCTCCCTTCGAAGTTGGAGAGTGCATCTGCCTACAAGCCAGAAACCAACAGTCTGCATGCAAATGTGTCGGATGTGTGTAATGGATGTGCACGCAACACTCTGGTTCTGAAACAGAACTTAAGTCCAGAAGTAGACGAAACACCCAGAACTTTCCGCCGGAGTTTACAGCTGGTTAACGTGAACACACACACACACACACACATACACGTACGCACGCATGCACGCGCGCACATGCACACTCACTCACTTACTCACTTTCACTCACTCACTCACTCACTCCACTCACTCACTCACTCCACTCACTCTCACTCCACTCCCTCTCACTCCACTCACTCACTCACTCCACTCACTCTCACTCCACTCACTCTCACTCCACTCACTCTCACTCCACTCAGTCACTCTCACTCACTCACTCACTCACTCACTCACTCACTCACTCACTCACTCACTCGCACGCACGCAAGCACGCACACACACACACATACAAACACACACATATATACAAAGAGAGAGAAGAAGAGGACGAAGAAGACCTGGTATGAAAGCCACACAAAAAAACTTAGTATTTGTAAAAAAAAAACTATAAAGGAAGTATGAAAACCTCTTACGGAGTGTATACTAGCAGTATCAATTACCCTACCCCGTCCGCTCTACAGTTTACCATGGAACCAACAGTTGGGGGGGGGGGGGGAGTTGGGGGGGGGGGGGGGGGGGGCTATATTACTTTACTACTTTACGGTTGGACAGAATATCTGGCAATTTATACCTAGTTTTGTTGGGCTTTTATATCAGGTCTTCTTCGTCTTCTTATTCTTTTTCCGTCTCAATGAAACCAGGTTGTAGCCGTGTCGTGGTTTTCTGTATTTGTCTTGCACTTCTCGGGTGGCTTAGGTGAAGGACTGGTTATTTTTGCAGCTTTCTGCTACTCTATTTATCCATCTCTTTCTTGGTTTGCCCCTTTCCTTCCTCCCAGGTGTTCTGCTGTAAAGAGTTCCCTATGCAGATTTGTCTGGCTGCATTCTCACTAGATGCGTGAAACATTTCATTCTTTGTCTATCATTGTAATTCATACATGGACCTGAGGATTTCTATCCGAATAGTGACTCTATGGGTCACCAAGTGTTAATGGCTCATAAAGCGATCCTAATGGTGTTTAACTTCACCCACATACTAGAAAGCACAGCGTGAGTGTCAAAGAGAAATTTTATACATCTGTGTTGAAGGTAATAATCTACGCCTTAATTAAATAAACCTCGGGAACCGCCCGGTTTCGAACACCGACCGTGGGCTGCAGCGAGTCGCAGCTGGATTTGAAAGCGAGCCTGCTATCGACTGCGCTAACGCGGCTCCCCTTAATTAAATGGTGAAAATTGAATGACTGTCAGCTGAACGTTGCATAATTAAACGTTAAAGATATATGGGAGTTCTTAATTAAATGTTTTATTTATGTATGTAAGTGTGTGTGTATGTTAGTATGTGTATGTATGTTTGTATACATACAGAGGGTGTTTTTTGTCTGCAGCTATTCTGAGGTATGACTTAGCCTGCAACACATTTAGCCCATCTGCAGTAGTCGGCAATGCAAAGATGTATCGCATACACACAATCGGGATGTCTCTTGTACATCCCAGGATCATCCGCATAGCTTCCTTCTGTATGCTCTCCAGTTTCTCTAGCTGACTCCTCGAGACAGTGAGTAACCTAAATCCATAATCAATCACTGAGATGATTAAGTGCTGGTATAGTGTGAACAACATTCTCTGCTCCCTATCCATCGCTGCCATAATCTTTAGCGCCCTGATACCTTTTTGAGCCTTTGTCGCAACTCCCTCTATATAATCCTTGAATGACAAATTTATGTCAAAGGTGATACCCAGTTTCCGCGGTCTGTTGTTTCTTTTAATGTCCCTGCCATTCATGATTTGATTTGATTTGATTTGATTAAAAAACCGACATCACAGCACTCGGGGCGTTCCCATAAGCGCTCCGTCCCCATCGTCAGCGAAGAGTTCCAATACTAATGGTGCCAGTAGCATTCTGATTAAACAACGTCCGCCTTGCCTTTCCTCTGAGCCTCGAGCATCTGCCAGAACCTCTCGTCACTCCCGCTGCATCAATCTCACCAGACTGTGGTTATCCATCTGCTCCTCCGAACTGTACATACTCTCCCACAAGGCACTAACCACGTCTGCCTTATCATGCATCAGTATTTCCCCAAATCCCTGCCATTCATTGATCTGGAAACATCTGCTTTAACAATTCTGTTTTTCACAGAACACCACAGGACGGCTGCATTTTCTGAGTTGATTACAGCACTCCTCTCTGTAGAGTCAGTTTGACGTCGAAGGTAATCACGAGCTGTTAACTAGACTTAAAATAAATCATTGGAGTTTTAATTAGACACTATAGATGCGCGGAAGTTTGTGCGCATTTAACGAAGCTATTAATCAGACGTTGAAGGTAGACATCAAGTGTTAATTAGACAAAGAATTGATCCCTCACCCCCAAGTTGCATGGTGGTAGCCTCTCCAAGGTCATCACGACACGACGGAGAGAAACTAGGAACCCTGTTCGCGCATTCCATGTTCGATTCGATTAAATTGTAAGGCAACCGTTCCTGGCAGCTTTTATGAGAGATGCCTTCTATTTCGCCTTTTTCCAGCACTGTTAACGGTGGTACAGAGGCTGAAATTAGATATTATATAATGGCATCATTTAATGTGTCTATTGAACTATTAACTTCAAATAATTTCCCCTGGTCTTAGGTAGTAAGATCGGACGCAAGTGTGTATTTTTGCGTCCGTCTAAAATTCCCTGACAATTGGAAATCGAAAAGTGTAGCTTAACGGCTCTACCCGGGCAAAATTTGGAGTTACAAATCTACCCAAAGTATTTCGTTTTGTGCGCTGAGATTCTTCGGACTCAAAGACTTGAGTTAGAAGTAGAACGCAGCAATTATGGGTGACTATCCTTGTGCCATGATGTTTTAAAAACCTAATATGTCTATTACTCACAAACTGAAATTTAATGTCGAGCCTGTTCTGTTGTCTGGTGGGAATCTTTGAATGAGAGCAAACAAATTAAGAAGAGTTTGGGGGTAACCGAGATGTGGTTGTTGAGAAGAATGTTTCGAATACCTTGGAATGCCAGAATAACTAACGATTATTGCCTGGAAATGGCTAATGAAAGTAGAACATTATATAAAACATTCAGAAGGAGATAAACAAAGTTCTTTGATCATGTGATGAAACCAGAAGCACCGGAAAATATCGTGTTGACTAGAAAGATCTCTGGTAAAAGAGGCAGAGGTATACCAATATAAACGATGGTGGATGGTTTAAGACAGTGGCATGAAGGAATATCATCAGTGGAATTGATCTAGAACATTAAATATCGAGATCTGTGGAGATTCATGAACTCCTAGGCCAGCTGGCAAGGCACTTGATGGTGGTGTTGATTATGACTACTCACAAGAATAAATAATGCTATGCACAAATTGAACCACTGTGTAATCAGCATAGCGATGAAAGTCGAAAACAAATACATAAGGAACCATTAAAGGAACAATAAATGTATTGAATTCAAGATCATTATCACCATGTACCTCGTCGACAGACGTTAAAAATCTTGTTTCGCCATCTCATACGATTACCACAGTAACGGATCAGCTCATTGTTTTTTTTTCTATCACCTTCCATAAAGCTGGCCATTAAGACGCTTATCTCGTTGCCGTCATCTCGCTCTCATTCCATCAACCTTGCCCGTTGTAACCAAGTTCTCCAGCCCAGTTTTTCTCGTAACATGCCTCCAGAACGACACTGAATTTCAAAGTCTAATTGTTTTAATAGGTTAACGACTTTTCTCTTTCTAGACGGGGAAAAATTCTTCTTCTTTTTCTTTGCGTTCGGTTCCGTATGCTCAGATCAAAGTATCAGATGGGTTGCCTCTATAAACTCGCATGTCAGTAGCAGGTCCTTCATTGTTCCCCATAGCTTGCTCTGCACACTTAGCTCTTGAGACCAGGTGTCTTTTCAAAGTTGTATGCAGAGTGTGCAAGTCTCCAGAATGTGCTCGGGTGTTTTTGGTCCTGTTTGACAGGCACACTGTGGGGACTGTACAATCTTTACTTTATGCAAATGGTAGCTGAGTGTCCTGTTCGTAGACGGAAAATTGTTGTATGTTGCCTTTCGCTGAGTTAACGACATTCCTGTCTCTCGACAGGGAAGAATTCATTTTTTTAAAAAAATGAAGAATGTCTGCACCAACTACAGGTACCAACAGTTACAAAACAACAAAGTAGGCGATATATCTGACACAAGTTGTTGTGAAGGGAGCATAAATGCCAACCTTTTACTTGTGTAGCAAACTAATTCGTTGGTGAAACGCTGACGTCCTTAAAAACACTACTACAAACGACGAAAGAAGACAAAGCCCCTAGACTGAATTCCACATAGGATATAGCAATAACACAGTATAGAAAGGCAATCATAGCACCGACAGCAGTACAACTACAAAGCAAGCAAAGATCCCTTTTCACGCCTTTTAGGTGTATCGGGCATATGGAAAGAGCACCCATATTTTTACTAACCATTCGGCACTAGGTCGGTAAATGTGGGTAGCATTACGCCGGCCGTCTTTACTTCCCCAGGACATACATCATGGTACCAATTTCAGGCTGGGTTGACCTGCGACGCCCCATAGTACAACTACACGAAAACAATAATAAACATTAATCAAAATGCGATAACCAGGCATTCTCCAGAAAAGGACTAACTACCAATATCAAAATTCAGAAATCCCCAGTGTGGGTTCCGGGGCCCTATTTTAGGGGAAAATAAGAATAGACCCACTGCCTGTCCAAAAGCATGTCGTAAGAGTCGACTAATTAGGAGCTTCCTTCGAAGTCGGAGTGCATCTGCCTGAGACGCAAGAAATCAACAGTCTACACTCAAACGTGTCAGATCTGTCAAAAGGGTGCACACACAACACTCAGGTTCTGGAACAGGACTGCAGTCCAGAAGTGGATAAACAACCAAAACTTTCCACCAGAGTTTACAGCTGGTGAACGCAAAGAAGAAAGAAGAAGAAAAAAATTTATAAACACAAGTTAAAGCAAGCGAAGGATTTTACATACCAGAGAAGTATTTTTTTTTTTTTTCAAAAGACAAAAGAATTAATAAAGAAATCAAGCAGAGATTCAAATAAAGCCATTTAAGTTTTAGGCCAAATGACATCCAATTTAAAATGAAAGTATGTGAAAATGAACACTAAAAGAACACTGTTCAACACAATATTCTTCTCAACGCTAGCTATCAATGTCAAACATGGACACTGTCTTCAGAAGACAGAAGGAAAATTGTCATGACAGAAATGAAATATTTACGTACTATGCTAGGTGTAACAAGGAACGATGATATCAGGAAAAGAGTCGGCACAGAACCAATTCTGAACTTTGAGTGTAGACCACAAATCAAGTGGTTTGGTCATGTAACAGGACTGGCATCAGACAGGGTACCACAGAGAGAAATGCTACACAGATACAACGGTAAACAGAGTCAGAGGTCGACCGCGCAGAAAACGGACCGCAGAAATATCAGAGACACTGAAGAGTACTTCATACAAAGAAAACAGAAGGGCCCGGTCCTTAGATCTCTTCCTGTTCTGACGCCGCAAGGCATTTCAAGAGTGGAGGAAAGAAGAAGAAAAGAAGAAGAAAAAAAAACAATGAAAGGATAAACTTGCAAGCCTTTTTTACTAATAATACAATAATAATAATGATGATGACAAAAAACATTATGACGATGATAATGGGTGATTACGATAAAGGCGAGGACGATGCTGACTGGGATGACGATGTTAATGATGACCATGCTGATTTGTGATGACGATGACGGACGATGACGATTGGTAATGACAATGATGATGATGGTGATATCGATGATGATGGATGATATCAATAAAGATGGTTGATGTTGATGATGATGGGTGATATCGATGATGATGGGTGATATCGATGATGATGGTGATATCGATGATGATGGATGATATCAATAAAGATGGTTGATGTTGATGATGATGGGTGGTATCGATGATGATGGGTGATATCGATGATGATGGGTGATATCCATTATGATGGGTGATATCGATGATGATGGGTGATGACGATATCGATGATGATGGGTGATATCGATGATGATGGTGATATCGATGATGATGGGTGATATCGATGATGATGGGTGATATCGATGATGATGGGTGATGTCGATGATGATAGGTGATATCGATGATGATGGGTGATATCCGATGATATGTGACGACAATGATGATGCGTTATCAAAATGATGATAAAGATGGTTCAGTTGGGGGGTGGCGGGGGTAGGGGAGGAAACATGTTGAAGTGGCGGTAATAGACCTACTGTCTTTTAACAAGCAGTGTTGTAAAAGGAGAATAGTTATCTATGTTTCCTTTGACGTGCATCTGACTGAAAGACGAGGAACTACTAGTGTGCATATAAATAAGCTAGGTCTGTAAAACCATTGAGCAGGCAAAGCTTAAGTAGTCCCAGAAATGAATCATAAAGGAAAATAGCTGATCTCAAAGCTAATGTGTGTGTGTTGAGTGCTGAAAACGAAAAGGATGTCAACAAAATGTTGACTAGTCTTAGTTTTAAAGATATATAGTTTACCTAATTAGCGGAAATTCATGTATATATATATATATATATATATATATATATATATATATATATATATATATATATATATATATATATATATATATACGTATATATATATATATTTATATATACATATATTTTATGCAAATTATGCAACAACAGTTGCGTGATTATATATATATATATATATTTATCCTGCAACTGTTGTTGGCGATTGCATAATATTTTCCAAAGACCAATAAATATGTGACTAGAAAATGATGATGAGGTCCCAACTATAATGACACCAAATATATTTTTAAAATATCATATCTCCGGAAAATAAAATAGTTAATGCATTTGTCCTTTTCAACAGGGCTGTAGGTAAGTAAGCCTTGAACATCCATGAACAGGACAAATCATTTGTGTCATGTATGTGGTTGAGTGACACTTCTATCACACAAAAATTAATTTAAAAACCTAAGGTGTTAGACAAAGCGTACTGTTTATATGTTGGCTCAAGAATAAATGATCAAGATAAGAGCTGGATGCCACACGTGTGCTGTAATACATGTGCAACAAATCTCAAACGGTGGTGACTGGTAAAAGACAAGCAATCCCTTTTGCAATCCCAATTATTTTGAGAGCCTACTGATCCTGGCAACAACTGTTACTTTTGCATAGTCCTTTCAATTGGAAAAAAAAGCATATGAAAAAAAAAAAGAACAAAGAGACTCAGGAATACACAAACATCCCTTCTGCAACATCTCCGTTGCAAACCGGCAATGGCCTGTTGATTCTCAATGGCTAGAATCAATTTCAATTGCCTTCACTGATAAACAAGGGGCGTCCGTGGCTTAGGCGTTGCGAGTCCGACTCGTAATTCCAACGTACCTCGATTGAAACTCACTGCTGGCTGCGAGGCTTTTTATCATGGTACGGGGCGTCGCAGATCGACTCAGCCTAAAATGGGTATCAGGGTGTTTGTCCTGGGGAAGTAAAGACGGTCGGCGTAATGCAGACCATATTACTCCCCTAGCGCGGATTGGTCTGTAAAAATATGGGTGCTCTTCCCATATGCCCGATTTGTCTAAAGGCGTAAAAAGGGATATTTATGTTACTTTACTGATAAACAACAAGACACTGGTGATATTGAACAAAAAAGAGCCTAAAGAGGCCTTCATTTTGAGCAAATTGTATCCAGTCAAACAAATCTATTAACGGAAGGAAACTGAATGGTCTTGTGAGAAATCTGAATTTAATAGAAAGAAGGGCGGATACTTTAGGTTCCAGAATGCAACAGTGGAAAAACACGACAGAAAATGTTAGAATTTATTTATATAAGAACCGCTAGAAACTTTTTATTACATTCTTTTTCAAAGAGGGTGCTTTTCTACGTACCACAACATTTCTGGTTAAATGACCTCAAAATCAATTACAAACGGGTAGAGTGGAGGTTTTTATTGATTCCACCAAAACGAGTCTTAAAGCTGTTTTGCTGAAGAATGTTTCTCAGTCAATTTCAGCTTTTCAGTCAATTTCACGCAGTTAATGTAAACTTATGAAAATAGTAAGCAGCTTTTGAAGTACATTTACTATAATTATCACCATTGGTCACTCTAAGGAGACTGAAAAGTCTTTGCTCTGTTGCTTGGACTGCAACGTGTATACACCGTAGTGTTGCTTTTTATGTGGGTGGGGCTGCCGTGCACAAAGTGACCATCACATCAGCAAACATTTGGCCAATCAGACAATCCCTGCAGCCCCGCTGTAAGTACGTTGAGAACCCAGCACTTGACGCTAGTACGATTTTGTTAAAACATGTGAGACTTTCAAAAACGTAATTAGAAAATTTTAAAGACTGAGTTGAGTTGAGTTGAGTCAAGAATTGACATCACAGCACTGGGGAATTCCCATGCGCACTCCGTCCTCATCTTCAGCAGCCAGTATAACTAATCTTACCGGTTGTAATCTGGTTATATGTCTGTCTTGACTGCCCTCTGAGTGTAATCAGCTGGCCAAAACCCTCTAGTTACATCCAGGTGCATCCTTCTCTCTAGGCCATAATATTCTTGTTTCTTGTCTGACTTCGTTGCATGTTCACTCAGGGCCTTGACGACATCTGACTAGTCTAGTCATGTGTATCAATTCACCACCTAGTGGTGCAGACCGAGCCAATCTGTCTGCCTGTTGATGTCCCACCTGAGTGAAGCTAACATAAGAGAGGGTTTATCTACTGGCCTGCAAATGTGACAACTTTAGGGATTATGAGTTCTTTTGCGTGTTGCGTTGCATGGCGAGGATAAAGTGGCATGGCTAGCCTTTAGGTGGGTGGTGGACAATAGAAACAAACAGATCCGATAATTAGAATTAAACTGAAGAAAATCTCTTTCTGAAGAATAAAAGTCTTGGCTGCAAAATGTTTTTCAAATTTAATTTTAAGGATTCTTAAATGGATTCATTTTTGCCAAAATGCAAAACCTTCAGTGTGTTATGTGTTACAGTAATGTAAATAAATCATAAACACACACACATACACACACACACACAAGCTTTTAGTGAATTTATTTTAATGAAATCATCATTTTAAAATAAAAAACAAATGGGGGTTTTTAAATTGTTACACAATTTCCACTTGGTAAAATGTGGAAGAAATAACTTCCTAATACAAAACATCGATCTAGTGGTACATGGAAGGAATTAATGGCGATTAAAAACATCCATCTTGTCACTAATGCATGAAATTACATACCACTAAAAATATCACACATGAAAAAAAAATTACTCACTATTTCCACCAAAGATATTTCCCAACCCGGAAATTGCCAGCCTCTCACCAGGATACACAACTTCTCCCGTCCGTGGTAGACAGATGGGCTGAACATATTTGTTGAACTCAATGCCACTGTTGTTTACTAGTTCAATTTTTAGTAGGGCAATGTCGTAAGCAAAGGAACCCACTGTAATTCGTCAAAGTGTATGCACACATGAGAACAAAGTTGATGTGGGCTGAGCTCAGGCACATACAAACTACATCATTTCACCATCCTCCTCCTTCTCCGTCTTCTTCTTCTTTTCCCTCTTCTTCTTTTTCTTTTTCTTATTCTTCTTCTTCTTCTTCTTCTTCTTCTTCTTCTTCTTCTTCTTCTTCTTCTTCTTCTTCTTCTTCTTCTTCTTCTTCTTCTTCATCGTCTTAGTCTAATTTCTCCCCTTCCTTTTTTTGTTCTTGTTTTTCCTTTGCCTAGTCTTCTTCTTTGAAAAAGAAGAGTAAAAACGAGGAGGGAGTGGGGAAGAAGAAAGAGGAGGAGGAGGAGAAGAAGAAGAAGAAGAAGAAGAAGAAGAAGAAGAAGAAGAAAAAGAAGAGGTAGAAGAGGTAGAAGAGGTAGAAGAAGAGGTAGAAGAGGTTGAAGAGGAAGAAGAAGAGGTAGAAGAAGAAGAGGTAGAAGAAGAAGAGGTGGAAGAAGAAGATGTAGAATAAGAAAAAGAGGTAGAAGAAGAAGAGGTAGAAAAAGAGGTAGAAGAAGAGGTAGAAGAAGAAGAAGAGGTAGAAGAAGAGGTAGAAGAAGAGGTAGAAGAAGAGGTAGAGGTAGAAGAAGAAGAAGAAGAGGTAGAAAAAGAAGAAGAGGTAGAAGAAGAGGTAGAAGAAGAAGAAGAGGTGGAAGAAGAAGAAGAGGTAGAAGAAGAAGAAGAAGAAGAGGTAGAAGAATAAGAAGAGGTAGAAGAAGAAGAAGAGGTAGAAGAAGAGGTAGAGGTAGAAGAAGAGGTAGAAGAAGAAAAGGAGGTCGAAGAAGAAGAAAAGGTAGAAGAAGAGGTAGAAGAAAAAGAAGAAGAAGAAGAGGTAGAAGAAGAAGAAGAGGTAGAAGAAGAAGAAGAGGTAGAAGAAGAGGTAGAAGAAGAGGTAGAAGAAGAGGTAGAAGAAGAAGAAGAGGTAGAAGAAGAGGTAGAAGAAGAGGTAGAAGAAGAAGAAGAGGTAGAAGAAGATGTAGAAGAAGATTCGAGGGTGCTGACTCCTGCCTTGTACAAAGATTATAAGGAAAAGGAAAGGAGTCTCCGAAAACCTGGTTTGAGTCTGTAATCACAGTGGTAATTAATAAACATTATGTTGAATGGCGAATACATAAAATAATGTATCCTGAAACGACTGTTTTCCACCCATCCTAAAAAAAATTAAAACGTCCTGGAGGTTTGTGGGCCTCAGAACACCCAAGTGCCCAGGTCACAGCTCCTATAAAACTTGCACTGTTGCATTGAAAGATAAACGACACACACACATACACACACACACACACACTCAGATAGGAATAAACTCACCAGTATAGTTTTGATGTAACACAACATTCGATACATTAAACGTTTGTTCACCAGGGTCGTCTGCTTCCAAAATGCGATCTCCAACCACTACACTCAGGTTACCAATGAATGGAGAGCTGAAACACACATTGTTGTTTACACAAAGACATATATATTAACAAAAACGAAATCCCCAACATTACTGCTCTAAAATCCGGATGTGAAAGGAGGCGGAGGGGTGAGTCTGGTGATTTAGGCTGCATGGCTTGTGCGGTCGTCACGGACTGTGCAGGTTGTGTGTGTTTTTTTTTAATAGCTTGTAACTTCTCCGGCCCAGAAAATGGATTTACTTTTCTTCACATTCATGCCTCGTTGTGTCGCAGAGCGTGTCCCATGTTGCTGGGGTTTCACGCTTAGTGACTGACCAGCAAGAAATAGTATTTTACTCGTTGTTGTCACCGCCAGTGATTTGGCATGTTATATATTCCACGATGTGAACGCATTTAACGGTCAGAAAACATGTAGAACTGGCCCTAATCCCAACCCGCCTATCACACAGCCTCAAACTTTGTTTCACGAGAAAGTGCAGCCTAAGTTTCCACGACTACATGCAGCCTAGTATATACTCTATTTTTGTCACATTCTGAGTAGAAACCACAAGAGAACCACCAAATAGACATTAAAATAGGAAATACAGGGATTCAGAAGATGAGGACGGCTAAGAGAAAATCTTAAACGAACGTTGATGAGAAATGAGTCAAAGCCGCTCGACTTTATTCCATCCATGACATTGAACTATAGATTATGAAAAAACATTTGATAGAATTGATAGGGTATCTCTCTGAAAATTGATGAGGCACTATGGAATTCCACAGAAAATTATTAACTCAGTAAGGGCAACATTTAAAGACATTAAATTTCGAGTTCTTCATGATGGAAAGCTAACAGATACATTTAAAATAAAAACAGGTGTGCGACAGGGATGTCTTTTGTCGCCCGTCTTATTTTTACTGGCTATAGACTGGATTATGAGAACAGTAACTTTATTATCTGGACTTCGCTGATGATATTTCCCTTCTGTCCCATTCACGGAATCCGATTCAAGATAAATTAAATATACTTGATGCGAGATCACAGCAGCTTGGTTTGAAAATCCATAAAGGAAAGACAAAGATAATGAGAATAAATCGGGCAAATAGTAATGTTTTTCTTAATGGCACCCCACTCCAATACGTGAAGGCGTACACCCATTTGGGCAGTTATGTAGATGGAGGAACTGATATAGATATTAAAATAAGAATACAGAAAGCAAGAGGAGCTTTCAAAGCACTAGGGAATTTGTGGGGGTCCAAAGAAATTCAAAAAAATACTTAACTAAAAAATTTTAATTCTAATGTCAAATCAATACTTTAGGATGGGGCGGAAACATAGAGAACAACTAAGGCAAATATTAAAATATTACAGACATTCTTTAACTGGTACCTGCCTAGATGGAGTGACTAAGAAACAGATTACGTGCATATAAACAACACTTATACAAGCTTTTTGATGGACGTCGGAGCAAATTTGAAGCATTTGGCGTGGAAAGCTATTAGATCAAAACATTACATGATAAATAGACAAATCTAAAAGTGCCAGACAAGATGAAATAGCATATGTTGATAGAATATATAAAGAAAAACGTGCATTCAAGTGTGGAAAATGTAAGTTACTAATTAATACACTAAAAACCGTTAACTAGTAATTTCAAACTGCAGGGTGTTTTATTAAAGTTAAGGGTGTAACAATGCTTACATCTGATACTGAGCAGAAGACAAGCTGGGCAGAACACTTCCAAGAGATCTTAAATAGGCCCAGTCCACAAAAAAGAATGAATTGTGATGAATAGTCAATAATGGCAATATTACGAATAAATGTGTAGGAGTCAGATGCTACGGATTGGAAGGTGGTGGGTTCCTTGGCTTTCTTTCAAAAATGACCTTGGCTCTCAGGCTGACACATCTTTGAATGGGTACCAGAGACAGTCCTGGAAGTAAAAGCGCACGGAGGATGTTGACCTCATTACTCACAGATTGCCTATTGGTCTATGAAATATAGATCTAGCTCTATATATGCTCGGCACACCTGAAAGGGTGGACAAAGGCCCTTCATTCCTCGTTACCAATAAATGCATAACAGACACATGATATGGAAATCGGGAATGCAATCAATTCATTAGCAAACAATAAATTAGCAGGTGATGCGGATTCTACTGCAGGCAGCAGATAACGTACCCATAAACCTAGTGAAAGATTTTTTCAATAGAATCTGGACAGTGATACAAATTCAAAATCAGAGTGGAACAACAGAATAATTCTTTAAATTCCGAACAAATATAATCTTACTGACTGTAACAACTGGAGAGGAATTTTAGTTATAAATGATATCCAGGAGAAATATTCACCAATGATGAGAAAGTAAAGATACCAGTTGCGTTTTCGGCTAGGAACAACGTTTAAACTGTTTCTAATATGGCAAATAACACTTCACTTCTTGAGAAATCTGTAACGTATATTGAAAAGCGCAATAATGTGGGATAATTTGTCTTTTTATCTTCTCCAACTTTGATTTGCGTCTGTGGCTTAGGCGTTGCGAACAAGCTTCGTAATACCGGGGTGCTGGGTTCGATCCCATCTGCAGAGAGCTGCGTTGGTTTCAACAGTACCACCGAGCGTTGACCCTTAGTAGCATTGGCAAACTACTAAACGTAAAATGTGCCTAGGGAAAAAAACCACAACAGCCAAAAAATGCTAGAGTTGATTCTGCAAAGTCCTGTCGAGGAGTCGCAACTAACTTAAGTTGGTTCACAAAATTGTAAAGGCGAAGTGAAGACTCATACGTTTGTATGATTGAAAGTTATTATTTAAAATTACGGTTACTGAGTTTTTGGAACATTTTCTTTAGAGCAAATGAAAAGCGAGCACTGTCCATGGTTTTGTTAACTTTGAGGGAGTAACTTTTCCGTTCCGTTCCAGTTGGAAAAAAAAATTGTTCAACACATTCAGCCTCCTATTAGTAGCCAGGCTGCCAAGTAGTATAAGGTTTTATTATTGGCCCTACGTAATTCCGCCAAATTCATGGCTAAATTATTCGCCACGGAAAAGGACTGCCTACCAAGAGCCCTTAGCAGGACTCTTCTAGTGTTGATGCGATCCTCCAGACTACGCAACAATGCACCACTGGCTAGGTCAACAAAATTAGAGGTTGTTTGTTGTCTGCTTATCGAGCGGTGATGAAAAGTTCCCAGTTCATAGATTAATGTTGCCTCTTTAGATTCCATGCTTTGCAGCATAGATGACATTTTTGTCTCGGCCATAATAAAATCGGTTTCATTACTTAATTGTCGGACCTTGTATTTACATGAACCTGGGGTTTCAATATGCACGGCATTTTTCCACGTAATTTCCCCTCACTATCAATACACTTTGCCCAACGGTCGACAAGCTGAGGCATTCCTTCAAAATTAAAGGGTTTCAATTGGTCGGTAAGCCACTTTGGCACCGCATTGTGCTCCAGCGAGCTTGTGTTGTGTGGTAAGTTTTCTTGGTAAGCACCGTTCACAGACCACCACCCGCTCCAGCGGATGGGTGGTGCTGCTGACGTCACCAGGTTGGGCTTACGAGGCATTGAAGCAATGTTCTCAAATTAGGCGCTGAGGCGCCCTGGGGTGCCATGAGTTATGCCAGGGGTGCCGCGGCAATAATCAAGAAAAGTCGGCTCAAAATTGTGAAATTTTTAAAAAAAGGCATGTAGATACTTTGAAGTTAGAATTGAAGTTTTTCCCTCTCTTCTTCTTCTTCTCTTTCACCTTGTACCTCATTGAGGTGTCGGGGGGGGGGGTGTGAAGATGTAATGTACATTAATGAGCTCTATCAAGAGCACTATTAAGACTGATGTTCATTTCTGTAAGGCTGTTCCTAATGCCATCACAATATATTTTCCGAGGTCTTCCACTCGCTCTGTACCCGTTGTAGCGTTTTAGTGTGGCTTGCTGTGACAGATAGTCGCAGGGCATCCTTGTTTGGTGTCCAAACCACTTTATTTGTTGTTCTTTGATGACCTGTAAGACTGGCTTTATTCCTAGCATTCGTCTGATTTCATGATTTCGTATTCTGTCTTTGCTTGAAACCCATGCAGCTCTTTTAAGGCATTTAATTTCGGTTGTCACAATTTTACGTTCATTAGAGGATTAAATGTCCACGTTTGGCATTGATAGCATAGTGTTGGCCAAAAAATAGTTATGATAAGATTCACTTGAGTACTCCGAGGTATCTGCTGGTGTGTTAACAGGGGAGACAGTTGACCTATTACTTGATTAGTGTTGGCACATCTGGAGCTAATTTCTCTGTCCAGTTTTCCGTCGAATGTGAAAATTGCTCCCAAATTCCTCTGTTTGTCTCAGGGTGTTATTTTTTAATTTAATTTCTAAATTGTCTTTATGTCTTCCTATCATCATTGTCTCTGTCTTCGTAGTTTTTATTTTCATATTATATTCCTCCTCTTTGTTACTAATTTGATTTAGGTGGTTCTGTAGGCATTCCGTATTTTCTGCTATGAGTACCTGGTCGTCGGCGAATAGCAACTCTGTAATATCGTCTTCATGATTAAAGTTCGTTTCGCTACATATGGTATCCATGTATGTTATAAAAAGAAGCGGCGATAGTACACAGCCCTGACCCACACCAGAATTCACTGAAAAAGTCCTTGACAACCCTGCCTTCGATCTTGTGCAGCATTTACTACGTGTGTACAGGCTTTTGCAAATATTAATGAAATGATTGCTGATTCCCTTTTCCTCCATACATTCCCACAACATATTCCTGTCGACTATATCAAAGGCTTTTTCTCGCTACTGTCGCAAAAAGTTCTTGTTTGAGAACCTCTGCGTTACCGCTTCGTTAGCCCGATCTGGCAACGTCAGCAGCACTTCCCTTTAGTTGGAACCTGACTGACGACTGACTTTCTACCCCACTAGGACATCACACAAGCGATAAACACCCGATGACACAAAATGCCACAATGTGGAGGAAGATCGCCGTGGAGATGTCCCAGAAACTGCATTCAGACAATTGGCCATATTTATGGCCTGCCTATATTGCGGCCCCTGGCAAAAGCCAGGGTGGGGCTTTAAAAAAAATTTTTATCCTAAACGGACGAAACTGGATATATGCCAAGCTGGAACCTGTCGTGGCACCGACCTTATCAGTACCGAGTTCGTGGATGATTTGATTGGCAGAGCCAAGACTAATGAATGTTTAACGCAGATGCTACCTCATCAATGGTAATTCGCTTATTCGCAAGAACCATCTCTCGAACTTGCTGAAGGTTGTATCTGTGGTGGCGGGTGATGACTGTCCTGCTTTTCCTTCTTAGGCGAAATCAGGATCAGACTCTCACAGCATTACCACAACAGTATAATAGTAAAATACGAGAGGACAGAAATCAGTGTGGACATTGTAAGAATATTAATTTCAAAAGTGCAGATATTTGGCTTCCTCTAGTATATACATAAACTCTCTTGCCAAGAGAAGTTACACTTTTCCCTTTAAAAGTGTTTATTTTAGAAATCGTTCACTCAAATATGATGTACTTTGTGCACCTTACTTTCTTACATTGGCGACCAAGTCGATTGTCTGTCCGCCGAATCTAAAGAGGCAACATTAGTCATTGAACTGGGAACTTTTCATCACCGCTCGATAAGCAGACAACAAACAACCTCTCATTTTGTTGACCTAGCCGGTAGTGCATTGTTGCGTAGTCAGCACAGAGCAAAAAACTAACAATAAATTCATTTTAAAACTCAGAAAAAGCGCCATTGAAAGTTTATGGGGATAATTGTTTATCTTGTGCACACATTTTCAGGTGGAATTCACGATTTAAAAGTTGTGTGGAAATGATTACTAATGCACATAGACCCGGGCGCGAAATTTATGTCCGTAATAATGAATTTATTGCAAAAGTCATAGAACGGATACAAGAAGATCATTGTTTTACTGTGAGGATGATGGCAGATGAATCTGGTGTTAATATAGAGACCATTCTTAACATTTTAGAGCAAGATTTTAGCAAGAAAAAAGTTGCTGGCCGATTTGCACCACATTCCTTGTCTGATGACCAAAAAACATCAGCGGGTTGAATACACAAGAGACATCATCAAAACAAGAATTGTTGGCCCCAAAACAAGTGTGTGTTCTCAGATTTCCCGGGTTTGTCTCCCTGAGATTATTTTCTTTTCTTAAAATTAAAGGTACAATTGAAAGGACGCTTCTTTAACGATATTGATATCATGCAAAAGGCAGTAACGTCGACCTAAAGGGCCATAACAATAGAAGAACCACATAGGTCGTTCTAATGTATGTTAGATCGCGCTACTTGCTGTATCAGTGCACAAGGGGATTACTTTGTATAAAGTACAGGTTATATCTTCAACTGTTGATTATTTTAAATGTTATCGAATTAGTCTCATTACATAATTGTCGGACCTTGTAGACTGTAGAATAAAAAGTGGTAATAATGTTTGATTCTCCCTCATATATAAATATATTAGGGCTGTACCGAAAAGTGAAAATCACTATTCCGCCGAATACGAATAGTGGGACCAACTATTCGGCCGAATACGAATACGAATAGTGTATCATCATCACCAGGTGACTTGCCGACTGGCGTGTGCGATCATGCCTCTCCACAATCTGCGATCTTCTGCAGCATGTATCATTTCGTGTGCTGTCACACCTTCATGCCTTGCAACAAGACTGTCAAGAATCTTCTATCGTTGTCTTTCTCTATCCCTCCTTTCACAGATCTTTCCAGTGGTCACCAAATGTTCTATTTTCCCTCTTCTCAAAACATGGCTGAAAAATGACGACTGTCTCCTTCTGATGTTTGTGATTAGTTGTCTTTGGGCTCCCGCCTCTTTCAAAACCATCGTTCGCTAGCCGTTCGTTCGGTGTAATTTAAACGCACCTTCATATTCTCGTTGGCAATATCTTTAAATTTGATTTGGGCGAAGACACCCAGGAAAAAACAAAAAATGCATGATCTCTCTCTCCTTCTCCCTCTCTCTCTCTCTCTCTCTCTCTCTCTCTCTCTCTCTCTCTCTCTCTCTCGCACACACACAGACACACACACACAGGCGCGCACACACACACTGCGGTTGGCATTTTATACGGTTTGTACCACGTAACCGGGTTGCAGTTTTCCCCGCTACGACAAAGGCAACAGCAAATATTGTGTTAATGGGAGAGTTATTTCAGTCTATCACAGTGTATGCAGAAGCGGGTGTAAGGTAACTACTATTAGTATTCGGCCCGATCGCAACTATTCGGCCGAATACCGAATAGTTATTAGGTCCACTATTCGGCCCCAAAGCGAATACGAAGCGAATATTCGGTACAGCCCTAATGGATACGGGTAGTAACTAAAATTTTGTCCACTCACCCAACGCAATTAGTAGTAGTAACTATCCAGTGCTGACTGAGTAAAGCCCCTCCACAAAGGTAAGTTGTATCAGAATAGATTGATACATGCCAAGGGACATCACCGGGCGCTGTTATTATGCCTCCTAAAACCTTGTCCACGCCATCTGGATTTTTGGCAATATCAGATGGTCTATTTGGAGCATGGCGTTTCGACCTGATTGCTGGTCGCTGGCCACAGATATGGCGCCCTGTAGAGAATACAAGCAGATGAGATGTGACCTACATTCAAGCAATTTATAACCTATCATGATATATGACCCCAGACCCTTGGGGTCCACACCCAGATAATTTTTTTCCAGGGAAAGAAAAATGGGGAGGGGTGGTCAGAGTGCCCGAGCTACAACCCCGTAGAGTGTGTTGTTGAACAGAAGCTTTTTATTTATTTGAACATTTTACATAATTGTTTCCGATATTAGGGGATTTTCCCCCTATTTATCAAATACTAAGAATTTTTAGTATTGTTATTTATTGCACACTGTGACTAGGCTTGCTAGCAATGAACGCCTTGGCTTATAGAAAGTGTATAAACTGATTGAGAACTCTACCCCACGCCCATAACGCAGACTGATAGTATCAGGGAAAATAAAAATATGTCATTGGCTTTTGTAGCTTTCTGGTGACTTTGTGTGATGATAGTTCATAACAAACTAATACTTAGATGGCCGCTTAGCGACTACCTGTTTAACAGCCCACGGGAGTTACCGAGTAGGACATTGTGACGGACGAGTGAAGACTCCACTCTGAACGACAGACGGGACAAAACTAACAGAGCAGTGTGTTTTTGCGGAGTTGTAGAGAGACGAAGACTGTGACCAAGAAGTGGTGTTCTGACAGTTAGGTTTTTCATATTTGATTTAAGTTAGCGATGCAGCGGCGGTTTAGGGAATAGACAGTTTGTTACTATATGTTGGTCCGTGGGTCCTGTATTTTAAGAGTGACTGGAAGTAGCTAGTTTAACTCAGTATTCTGTAGAGATGGTTCAGTGTTAGTAGTGTTAGTTGGTTGAAATACTTTACCCCCAATTTGTCATCTGTATATTTGTGAGGTGGTTAAAAAAGGGGCTTTGTCAGTATAATAATAAGAATATGATGATGATGTGGTGGGCACTGTCTTCAGGCGACTCAGCGTGGTGTCGTGGTCTGTCCGATCACACTAACTATAACCGTTTAGTAGCGCACTAGTGGTGGTGTAGCTTGGAGAAGCGCAGAAAATAGCTTGGATCAGAGACTGTTGGTTCGGACCCGGTTAATGCCTGGAACAGCTGAAAGAGTAGTGTGTGTGTGTTGCGATTTCAAAGCACACCAGCAGCAAGGGTGATTCATATGAATGTAGTATGTGTCAGCAGCGACACGAAGATGACATACACACACATACATACACACACACACACACTTTCCACATGCTTTGTATGAGACACTTTCTTGATATATCGTCTCCAACAAACGTTAACTGAAAAGAGTAAAAAGGCAGCAACCACAGCAACAAACAAACAAAAAACGCAGCAAGCTACACTGAGGGCACCTCTGTGCGAATACCAGCCTCAGTGAATCGTATCGTGTCGTAAAAAAACAAACAAAAATTCGGCTCTCCTGCCACCTTGTGCCGTTAGCTCAACTGCCGCCGATCTCTTGTTTGCAATGCAGCGAAGGGAGAGAACTCCCACTAAGCGATCGGCGGCAGTCCAGCTAACGGCCTAAGGTTGCAGGAGAGCCAACAATTCTAAGCTTAGTCCTTTCTTAGCCGCCTGAAGGCCTGCTTTATCAAGGATGGTTCCTGTGCTATTTATTTTAGTTCTGTTCATTTGTGGTGAGCAATTACACCTGAGAAGTTCGATGCAGGTTTTATGGGTCCTGGTTCTTGGCTTTAGCTGGTTGCCTGTCGGGGAATCTGTCTTCCGTCTTTTTTTAGGATGGAATTTTTATTTTATTTGAAGCCCTACCCTGGCTCTTGCCAGGAGCCGCAATATAACCTGGCCATAAATATAGCCTAAAGGCTGAACGCGTATGCTGGGACCTCTCCACGGTGATCCTCGCCCACATGGTGGCACTCTGTGTCATCGGGTGTTTATCGCTTGTGTGGTGTCCTGGTGGGGTGGGAAGTCAGTCAGTCTGGTTGCTGTCCGCTTGCCGTTGCACTGATCATCTTTGCGAGCACCGAGGCAGCCCTCTTTCACACCGCCGCCAAGTAAACAGTCCTGTCGCTGAGCGTCCAACACAAGGCCCCATTCACGACGACTGTCACAAGCTACTTGTTGTGCGCAGCAGGTTTTTTTTTTTTTAAACAATTAGAGGAGGTACCATAGAATGAAAAAAAAATTGGAACCTCCGAAGGTGCCAAGAGATTTTATAGAGAGGTCGGAAGATGGAGAGAGACAGATAGCTTGCTTGCTAGGTTGAGAACGAGGTCCCGGGTGCTTGAGCTTCTGATGGGATGGCAATGCCTTCCCTTCGTGCGTTTTGGTCCTGGGTTGACAGCTCGTGGTGAGGTCATAGGCAGGAATCGGTCTCATTCCCTTATCTGAAATTAAACTGAGTTGCTCCTCAGTGGGGGGGGGGGGGGAGTATCAACTTTTATATGTAGACTTTGTGGCAGGGGCCTCCACTCCAGAATTACAGTCATAGCAGAGGCTGTTACCAAAACTAGGGGCACAGCTCTATAGTTCCTTGAGACTGACTTTTGCTTACACACGCACTCCCACTAGCACACTCACAGAGAGAGAGAGAGACACTCGCACAAACACACACAGATAAAAACAGATAAATTTTTTCCCCACTGCTACGAGTTAGGTTTGTCATGTTTGTACAGAACGAGAGAAGATGCTTGACATTCTTGTTGCATGGCATCACCACACGAACTGATACATGCTGCAGGAGATCGCGGATTGTGGAGAGGCATAATCTCCCACGCCAGTCTGCAAGGCACCTGATGATGATGCTAATGATACATTTTTAAAACCTAGTTAACCCTACAGCAAATTTTATGGATAAAGGCCAGTTCTGTTGAAAAGAATACCATAAATGCAATCAAAAACAGAATCGATTACTATCTCTTGTAACATATAGCTGACACAAAATGAAGATGATGATGACGATGACAACGATATGGGGTATTTATTGTACAAATGATCGATATGATACCTATATGTGTGTTGAAATGTCTTGTATTAGAAATCAAATCAATGGAAGAAAGGAATACTTGTTACAAGTCTGAAGGAAGATAATCTGACAACTGGAGAGGCATACCCTTGTTATCAGTAACGTCTAAGACTTTTTTTTTTTTTAATCGGTAAAATAATTCTCAGAAGAATTAAAGGGGTATCGGACCAAATCTTGAGCGAGAAACAGGCAAGTTTTCGACCTGGAAGAATCTGCTGAGATCAAAAAGTAACTCTTAAGACCTATTTGTGTGGAATTTATTGAAAACAAGAACAACCTTTTTAAAAATGTTTTCTGTATATAATTTGAAAAGGCTTGGAGATAACACACATCTCTGACGCACTCCTCTCTTTATCTATATCTGTAGTGAGCTGATGTTGTTATGTCTAGTTGTTGCTATTTATAGCAAAATAAATATAGCGTCAAAGGTTGGACTACAAAAAAGTTATGAAAAGGCAAACAAATATATTGAAGACACCAACAACAGATCAAGCAGATGTAGACTAGAGACAATAGTAATTACAAATAACAGATCAATTTGCTTATTTATCTAGTCATCATCATCATGTAGCAGGTCCTTTGCAGAACGTCGCTCTCATCACGGTCTGCCTGAAAGAAACTCTATCTCTCGCCAATTAGCCAATCTTCCTTGATGTTCAGATCTGTCAAGATATCGATCTAGTAACTTTGATTAAAAGGCATTGCCACGGCAGCAGTAGATCTCCACAGCTTGAACAAAATGTGGAACTCAAGTGTCTAGTTTTAAAACCAGTTTAGCTAGTATCACTTCTAAAGATATTTCTTCTTCTTCGCGTTTACCAACTGGAAACTCGTCCGGAAAGTTCTGGTTGTTGAATGAATGAATGAATAAATAAATATGTGATGTTTTACCGTTTAGGGTGAGTTTACGGGTAGTTTTGACGTTGGGTTCAGCCGTAGAATCAGTTTCAGTCGTGACCTTAGGTTCAGTGACGACTTTAGGTTTATTGTTGACATTAGATACAGGCGTGACTGTAGACGCTGACGAGACCGTAGGTTTAGCCGTGACCTTAGGTGTAGTCTTGACTTCAGCTTCATTCCTGCGCTTCATTTCCGGGTTGTCTTCCATGAACAGTATACTCTCTTCCTTTGTCTGAAATGTGAAAGCAAAAAGACCTTGACACATATAGCTGTTTCTGCCCATGAGGCAGTGAGGCTAGTAACATGTCAATAGAGAGGGGGAAAGGCAGGCAGACAGGTAGGCAGGCAGGCAGGCAGACAGGTGGGCAGGCAGGCGACGGGTAGGCAGACAGGCAGAGATAGGAATATAATTCATGCAAGAGCATTTAACATATTCGGTACAAGAATAGTTCACAGGCGACCCACAATGGGTGTAGTGATACGAAATAAGGGATTAAAGTAAAGCTGCTCATTGGTTGTTAGAATCAGGGAAACATTCGGTTGTAAGACATGAGGTCTGCATGAGAGAGTGAATCCTCGTAAATGTGTGTGATCTGTGTGGGGGCATGGGAGAACCGTGGCAGTAGCGAAAAGAGATTCATTCTGCGACACGGTCCTAGTGCTGGATGGTTTGAAAGCTCATCATTTGTATAGAAAGCTCATCGTCTGTATAGAAAGCTCATCGTCTGTATAGAAAGCTCATCGTCTGTACAGAAAGCTCATCGTCTGTATAGAAAGCTCATCGTCTGTATAGAAAGCTCATCGTCTGTACAGAAAGCTCATCGTCTGTACAGAAAGCTCATCGTCTGTATAGAAAGCTCATCGTCTGTATAGAAAGCTCATCGTCTGTATAGAAAGCTAATCGTCTGTACAGAAAGCTCATCGTCTGTATAGAAAGCTCATCGTCTGTACAGAAAGCTCATCGTCTGTATAGAAAGCTCATCTTCTGTTTAGAAAGTTCATCGTTTGTACAGAAAGCTCATCGTCTGTACAGAAAGCTCATCGTCTGTACAGAAAGCTAATCGTCTGTACAGAAAGCTCATCGTCTGTATAGAAAGCTCATCGTCTGTACAGAAAGCTCACCGTCTGTATAGAAAGCTCATCGTCTGTACAGAAAGCTCAACGGCTGTACAGAAAGCTCATCGGCTGAACAGAAAGCTCATCGTCTGTACAGAAAGCTCGTCGTCTGTACAGAAAGCTCATCGTCTGTATAGAAAGCTTATTGTCTGTATAAATAGCTCATCGTCTGTATAGAAAGCTCATCGTCTGTACAGAAAGCTCATCGTCTGTATAGAAAGCTCATCGTCTGTATAGAAAGCTCATCGTCTGTATAGAAAGCTCATCGTCTGTATAGAAAGCTCATCTTCTGTACAGAAAGCTCATCGTCTGTACAGAAAGCTCATCGTCTGTATAGAAAGCTCATCGTCTGTATAGAAAGCTAATCGTCTGTATACAAAGCTCATCGTCTGTATAGAAAGCTCATCGTCTGTATAGAAAGCTCATCGTCTGTATACAAAGCTCATCGTCTGTATAGAAAGCTCATCGTCTGTATAGAAAGCTAATCGTCTGTATACAAAGCTCATCGTCTGTACAGAAAGCTCATCGTCTGTATAGAAAGCTCATCGTCTGTACAGAAAGCTCAACGGCTGTACAGAAAGCTCATCGGCTGAACAGAAAGCTCATCGTCTGTACAGAAAGCTCGTCGTCTGTACAGAAAGCTCATCGTCTGTATAGAAAGCATATTGTCTGTATAAATAGTTCATCGTCTGTATAGAAAGCTCATCGTCTGTACAGAAAGCTCATCGTCTGTATAGAAAGCTCATCGTCTGTATACAAAGCTCATCGTCTGTATAGAAAGCTCATCGTCTGTATAGAAAGCTCATCGTCTGTACAGAAAGCTCATCGTCTGTATAGAAAGCTCATCGTCTGTATAGAAAGCTCATCATCTGTATAGAAAGCTCATCGTCTGTATAGAAAGCTCATCGTCTGTATACAAAGCTCATCGTCTGAATAGAAAGCTCATCGTCTGTATAGAAAGCTAATCGTCTGTATACAAAGCTCATTGTCTGTACAGAAAGCTACGCTGAATTAAAGCAGAGAAAAAGACAATGCTGATGTGTTCCTACTGAGTGCTGATTGTGGTCGTGTACATGTCAAAGATGGACGATGAGGCTTTCCTGTGTGATAAGAAGTGTGGAAAAGTATATCTGAATGTGTAAAGTGTTATGCTGTAGGTTGTCGCTAGGCTGTTTGTTAGATCGGAGGAGAGGCTCTCGTAGCTCATGTGCCATGATCATTAAAACGTAAAACTGTCGTCAACTGATGTCAACAATTATATGGAAGAGTTGCCGGAGTTGACTGGAGAGAGCCTCTGTCTTGCCTATCTCGTGAACACTAGACAAGTAGACACTAGACTTACTGCAATAAGTGAAACATTACAATGGGAGCTTTCATATAAACTAAACAACATGAATTATGGTGAAAATTCTTCTTCTTCTTTTGTTGTCTTACTGATACTAGGTTGTAGCCCAGTGTCGTAGTTTTTTGTATTCGTCTTGCGCTTCTCGGGTTGCTTGGGTGATAGATTTGTTCATCTTTTTGCATGTTTCAACTAGATCATTTATCCATATCTTTCTTGGTCTTCCTCTCGCCTTCCTCTCAGATGTTCTACTGTAAAAAAGTCTCATATGCAGTTTGGTCTGGCTGCATTCTCACCAGATGGCTGAACCATTGCATTCTCTGTCAATATAATCCTGACATGGTCTTATTCCAACTTTCTCTCTAATGCTGTTATTCGAAACCATGTCTCGTCCAGTGTTGTTAAGTGACGTTGCCGAGAATAGTTACGGTAATTCACGGGAAAGAATTATATAATCAGACGCTGTGTTGAATTAAGGTTGTGAAATTTGAATCAGCATCAAACTGATGATCTGCAGTGTTGTTGTAAAAGTATTAATAGTCTTTGGGGGACACGGTGATGTCAGAAAGGCCGTAGATTAGGGTTGATTACTTGTCACGGACGAATGAGCTGAAATAGTCTGGAGGCATTGATTATGACAGTCCTGGACAGGCAGAAGTCTTGTCGGCGCGGCTCAACCTCAGTCCGAATGTAAGACGGGCCGAATGTCTGCGCGCCCAATTTGTAACCCTTTAAAAATAAAGTTCTTTCGCTCGTTCGTTCTTTCCAACGACTTAAGCCTGAAGTTTGGACAACGGATCAACATCATGGCCCACGGATAGAACTCATAAGTCCTCCTTTCCTCTTGTAACTCATGTCTGAGTTCGAAGAAGCTCAACATAGTGGACAGGTTCTGTAGCACCTGCGAGGATCCTGAAGTATTTCAGGTAGATTTTTTACTCCAAATTTTGTCCGAGCAGTGCCGTTAGGCTTTTGTTTTTTATTTCAACTGCTAAGGGAATTTTTACGTGCATAATAGTACACACGGGCCTCCAATCTCACTGCCCAGAGCCCAGGGATAATTACTAGAAGTCCAGGTCAAGGTGATTAGGCCTGAGAAAAGTAGCTGTTAGAGCGGAACAGCGAGTGAAAGGTGTGTCAAGTATCACTCGACGTGTTGCAGCAACATTGACCAGTCTTGTCCAGCGGCGTGGGTTATCGTCACTGGATGAGAAATTTGCGTGTGCTAAACTTTTGCAGTGTGTTAGGAAATACTCCATGTAGAGATTCAAAGGCAAACTGTCAGCCAGCTTACAGTCAACTAAGTAATAGAGACGTTCCCGAAACATCTAATTGCATGTTTTTCACATGCGTTTCATTCTCATTAGGCTATCTCCAGCATTCGTCTGCTGACACACGAGAAACACCGGTGCAAGCCAAACTTTACGGTTGTTGACTAAATTACAGTGAATTGTAGACAAAACTGCAGATATAGATAATCTTTTTCAAGCGAACGAAGAAAAAGAAGGAATAGATAAAGAAGACGAAGAAGAAAAAGAAGAACAAGAACAAGAAGAAGCGGCAGCAGCAACAGAAGAAGTAGTAGTAGCAGCAGCAGTTGTAGTCCTGTGTGAGCTGAGGAATGCTTTTCACTGTATGTGGGGCATGCTATCTAAATAATAATCACTCATTGCTGCACTTATGAACTGAGTTCTAAACAATCTTCAAGCGAGCGTCAATTACTGTATATTCTATTTTTTTTAGAAGTACAGAAACTATTAGTCAGACAAAGATCAACGAAATTCGCCACATGAAAGAAAAAAAAACCAGAAGAACCTGTCCAGTTGTAAATTATAAAACCATAAGGGCATGGGGAAAATAAAGACACAAAAATTTGTACAGGAGTTTCTATATATTTTTTTAAGTGTTAGGACACTACTTTTAAAACACACTATAGTTGCTAATATCCCTTGACTGTTTTAGTAGTTTCCAATCCCTCTCTAAGTTACACTCTCCCTTGATTGCTATAGCAGTTGCCTATCTCCCTTGATTTTTGTAGTAGTTTCTAATATCCCTTGACTGTTGAAGTAATTGCCAAACACCCTTGATTGTTGTGTTGCTAATATCCTTTGAGTGTTGTAGTAGTTTTCAATCCCTCTGAAATTTACACTCTTTCTTGAATGCTGTAGTAGTTGCCTATCTTCCTTGAGTGTTGTAGTAGTTTTCAATCCCTCTAAAAGTTACACTCTTCCTTGAATGCTGTAGTTGTTACCTATCTTCCTTGAGTGTTGTACTAGTTTCCAATCCCTCTTAACAATTGTAGTAGTTATAGTCTTCTTTGAATGCTGTAGTACCCTATCTCTATTGATTCTCATAGAAGCTGTCAATTTATCTTGTCAGTTGTAGTAGTTTCAAATCCCTTTTGTCAGTTGTAGTAGTTTCAAATCCCTTTTGTCAGTTGTAGTAGTTAGTCTACTTTGAATGCTGTAGTAGCTGCTTATCTCCTTGTATTGCTGTAGTAGTTGCCTATATCCCTCGACTGTTGTAAACGTTATCTATTTCCTTTGATTGTTCTAATAATAGCCAATCTCCCTGACTGTTGTAGTAATTACTCAGCTTCATTAATTGCCGTAGTAATTGCTAGTCTTTCTTGATTGCTGTAGTATTTTTTTTCCTATCGTTGTGGCATCAATTTTTTTTCTCCCTCCTAATGTAGTTATATTTGCTTATCTTTCGAATGTTATTTATTTTACAATTTAGTGTCTTTTGACCTCAGCTGGCTGTGGTAGTCTAATTTTGTTTCTACAGATTTCTTCCTTGGTCGTTGGTATATCCCTTTTTTCCACCGACTATTGCAATTGTGCATGACAATTATTTTAGTCGCGGTACCTTCGTGGGATGCAATTTGTTGTTATCTGAAGCCCCACCCTGGCTTTTGCTGAATATAGCTGGGCCATAGATATGACCTCTCCTAGGGTAATCCTCATCCGCATAGTGGCACTTTGTGTCACCGGGGGTTTATCGCTTGTGTGATATCCTGGTGGGGTCCAACTTACATACCTGCCTATTGCAGTTGTATCATTCTCTTTTATTGTTGTGAAAGTTTTGCCTGTTTTTCCTATAGTCTTTCTTGTTGTTTCCCTTCGACTGGCGCTTTTTTTTTTTTTTTTTCACTCCAGTGGCGCATAATGCATCTGATTTTAGTCATAAGCTTTGACCAATCGGCACACGATGGATGATGTGGTCAACACCAAACAGGAGCTGGTCTTTGAAGCGAGACCATCTTCTCACAAGGGGAGAATACAGGGGCCAGAATGGTGCTCACATTTACCGAATACTCTTCGTTAGCCAGTTAACGATGTATTATTTTAGTTTTACTGATACTTTAATAGGATAACCAGTCTCTAAAGTGATGACGACGCAGAATGTTCTCTTGTTTCTGACCTGTGACTACGCATCTTTGGTCATCTGACTAGACTAAATGTCTGGACTCTTGTCTAAGAGAACTCTGATAATCTAATTAGACGCATAGAACTGACTCTCGTCTATAACTTTGGATATCTAGCAGGACAAATAATTTACTGAATCTAATCAACAACTAAGATTTTCTAATTAGACATATAATTTACTGAATTTAATCTACATCTAAGGTTTTCTAACTAGACGTATAGTTTACTGAACCTAATCTACAACTAAGGTTTTCTAACTAGACATATAATTTACTGAATCTAATCTACACCTAAGGTTGGAGAAATGTGGCTTTTCTGCCTACCCCCGTTATAAAAGCTAGACATAGTTTACTGACTCACATTTATGTCAACTCTGGTTAACTAGCCAGACCTATAGTTTACTCATTCTTATCTACAACAACTATGGTGATCTAAACACACGTATAGTTTACTGACTCTCATCTACGACAACTCTGGCTATATAAATAGAAGTATTGTTTACTGACTCCTTCAAAACAACGCTGGTCATCTAAAAAGGTGTATATAGTGTACTGACTCTGACTACATGTCTGCCATCTAAATAAACGTATAATTTACTTACTCTCATTTATGACAAAACATCCCTAGGCATCTGACTACAAATATGCATGTACCTGCTTTAAACCAGTGCTCTTCAACTGGTTTTAGATCTCGTTCCCCTTGAGTATATGGCACAGAATCCCCCCCCCCCCCCCCACCCATCCCACCCCCCCCCCCCTTACGTAGCCATAAACACGGCCAGTGAGCACACTAAGAATAGCAAATCCATTAAACGTATAACTTGTTAAAAGAAAACAATATTTTTCTTCTTCTCCTCCTCCTTCTTTTCCTTCTTATTATTAGTATTAGTAGTATTACTACCTGTACCCGGCCACGCGTTGCTGTGGCCCAGAATTGTAAAATGGAGAGGAAAGAAAATAGCTCTCAGCTAACAGTGTCTGTCTTACCCCCCTCCTCTCTCCTCGACGCAGTCATATTTCCCTCTCCGAAGGATTGAAAAATCATCCATGGAGAAATTATTAAAATAGAAATAGTTAAGAAATAAGAACTTTAAAATAATATTTTAAGCTCTCTTAGCTAAATGTGTTTGTCATTACCCCCCACCCCCACCCTCCACCAATCATATTTCCCGCTCCGTAGGATTAAAAAGTCATCACCTGGCGAAATTATTAAAATAGAAATAGTTGAGAAATGAGAAAATTAAAATAATATTTTAAGCTCTCTCAGCTAACGGTGTCTAGCATAACCCCCCCCCCCCCCCCCCGCTCCCCCAATCATATCTCCCTCTCCCAAAGATTGAAAAATCATCACCTGGCGAAATTACGAAAATTGAAAAGGTTAAGAAATGAGAACTTTACAAATATATTTTAACCTCTCTCAGCTAACTGTGTCTGGCATAACCCCACCCTCCCTTCCTCTCTCACCCAATCATATCATCTTCTCCGAAGAATGGGAAAGTCACCGTGTAACGAAATATTGTAACTAAATTGAGCTTGGCATCCGTGTCCACCCAGACTTAAATAGGTAGCATTAACTTGTACAGAGAAGTAATTGTAGCCAGTGTAACAGCTACCACATCACCCATCCAGTACCAGCACTACTGCAACCACAGCCCCCACCACCATCACAACAACAACATCAACAACAACTGTCACTACAGTCTGTTAGGTCGGTGTAGAAAAGAGGAGTTAGCGCCGCATGCTGTCGCCACGGACAATAGTTTAATGTTGCCCCGGACATAGGAAACAAAACCCCAAAAAACTTTATCACGTAACCAGTGATAGAACCCACAGTGAAAAGTACACTATACTCACGAATAGCGGAAAAAAATGCCCCGCACCCGTCATCTCTCCCTTTCCAAGGGAACGATTTTTAAATAGACCTGACCCTATAATATTGTGTTAGGAGTATCCACACCAAATTTCACATCTCTAGTCTTTATATTAGCTGAGATTTTAGGAGATCCCACACACAACAAACAGAAAAATAAAATTGTTAGAAAAGTGACTTTTAAAATTTTTTTTTACTTAAAAAAGTGCATGGGTTGGTGTCTTTAGTATTAACTTTTTAATGCTAAACTGTTTACCAATGACACAAATTTTGTGTGTAATCTATTCTACGAATGCCGAACATTACAAAAATAAACACATTGAAAAAGTGATATTTTTGTCACAAATTGGAAAAAAATGCCGTGTAGTGACCCCTTAACTCACCTTGGCATCTGTGTCCACCCAAACTAAACTGGACTGTAAGCCGTCTTAGTTAACAGTTTCTGTCATCGCTGAGTAATTTATGATCGAGAAGCGTCGCGGGGAGGCTAATTAGGACTTAACTGAAATCAGATGCCTTTGGGCGAAAGGCGCAGATATCGCAGCCTAGCTGTAAACCACAACACAATGTGGCAACCACCCTTTTAGGGGGAAAAGAACAATTATCACCCAGCAGGGAATCGAACACCGGTCACCCGAGTGAAGGATGACATACTTATAACTATATTACAGACGACTGAAGAGTTTAGGTCAGATATCGCAGCCTAGCTGTAAACCACAACACAGCGTGCCAACGGCCCTCTCGAGGGCGAAAGAAGATTACCCGTGACATGACCATTGAGCATCACGTCGCCGCTGTCGCAGGCTAGCTATAAACCCCAAAACCGAAAAAAGCGTAGATATCGCAGCATAGCCATAATCCACAACATAACGTGTCAGCCGTCCAGTTAAGGGCTAAAAAAATTATATCACCTAGCGAGAAATCGAACGCGGGTCACCTGCATGATAGGCAGAATAGCTACCAACTACGCTACCAAACACTCAAGCGAATGGTGGAAATGAAATTATATAATAATGCTAAGTTCAATAAGAGCTCTTTTTTATTCTTTTTCCTCTTTTTGTTCTTCTTCTTCGTATTCTTCTTCTTCTTCTTCTTCTTCTTCTTCTTCTTCTTTTTCTTCTTCTTCTTCTTCTTCTTCTTCTTCTTCTTCTTCTTCTTCTTCTTCTTCTTCTTCAACTGTTTCTTCTTCTTCTTCCTCTTCCTCTTCTTCTTCTTCTTCAACTTCTGCTTCTTCTTTTTCTTCTTGTTCTGTTTTTCTTCTTTTTCTTCTTCCTTTTCTTCTTCTTCTTCCTCGTTGTCCTCTTCTTCTTCTTCTTTTTTCTGCTTCTTTCTCTCGTTCACCGACTGTAAACTCCAGTGGAAATTTCTTCTGGACTCTAGTCTTGCTCCAGAGGAAAACAGAACAATGTTTAATGACTGCACTGAAATAATGTAACCACGTCAATCAGTGAATGTCACTTACCCTCTTGTCAACCCCACGACCGATAACTGTGGATACCAAGACGACGGTTACCAGCAAACAAGCCAGCTTCATGATAGGAAATGTAAAGGTCATCATCATAGAGAGCCAATACGTTTTTACAGATAACTCGCCAACAGTTGCTTCTAAAAGTGTCTAGCTACCTACCGCCTTCATAAGCGTCCTTCTGGGTGACGTGTATGCATGTACACGTGTTTATATGTTTGTTAAATAAAATTATTTGTAGCTTTCCGATTGGTTGAAAGATGTAACACTAAAAGCAGGAACTGGGAGTGTCCAATCTGAACTCGAATTGAGTTGTATAGTTTGTCTCGACGAGAACAAAAACAATTATTCTTGTTTACACCTTGTTTACTTTAGTATTCATTAGGACAAACTCTTTTCTGCCGGGAGGAAATAGAGAAAATCCAACTACTTGAAGAAGTGTTTATGTACTTGTTTACAGCATGTGAAACGATACAGATTTGAGCAAGTATCGCTGTACCGACAATACAGCCTACACTGCTATGAAATCACCTTAACATAAAAGTTTATAAGAATACGTGTCACCGCCAAGTTCTCTCACAAATGAGGCTAAAACACGTAGCATTTGCATATTCCTTGACTTCGCAGTTTTATTCCCTAAATGGAGCACAAAGCCTCAAGTTGGTATCGTTGAAAGTGGTGTAGTGGCTATAACATTTACTTGTTCACACTGTAATAAGGTTCACAAACCAGCTAGTGTGGCATATATGTATATTTGAATACATGAATAAACCACCCATACTTTTGTGTATTTAACATGATTCCTCTATTATGTACGTACGTCTTGCACTAATGTATCTGACTTGGGGTGCATTTGTTAATAATTTAGAAGTAAAACATGGTCATTGACATGGGGTTAATCGAATGTGTCTATTCAAACCACATAAAAATGGTTCCGTTTCTTTATCTTTAAAGTTCACTTAAGCAGTTGCAGTTCTCTGCAATGGCCTCTGTGGCGAAATGGTCACGCCCGTTTGCCTCATGCTCGCTTAGAGGATGTGATAATTGATAGAGACAGTTCAGTATCAAAGGACAAAAAACTAACACTCACACTAACACTGACACTTTTTTTTTTTTTTTTGCGAAAGTAGATGTCGACGTTTGGTGTAGGAGAGCCTAGTATATGATATTACAAGATCCAGCTTATAACAGAGGCGGAGGAGGTCACTGAAGCTTTCCTCTGGTTAGAGAACACGACACTTCACACACACACACACACACACACACACACACATATATATATATATATCACATAAAACCGCCACGACAAAAGAAGTCTTTAGCAAGGTGTTAAAGATACTCGTCAAAAGCGATTAGAAAGAAAAGAAGTCCGAAGTGCTGTATAAACACTTATGTTGTTACAACAATGCCAGAACAATTAGCAGACAAGCTGAGATATATTTGCTCTGGCTGGGATGTGATTTGTGGGGAGATTGCAAGGCATATCTTTGAAGGATAGGAAAACATAGGAACAGGAAAAAAAGTCATCAGAAAACTAATTAGAACAAACAGACGTTAGTGAGTGAGTTAGTTAGTTAGTTAGTTAGTTAGTTAGTTAGTTAGTTAGTTAGTTAGTTAGTTAGTTAGTTACTTAGTTAGTCAGTTAGTTAGTTAGTTAGTTAGTTAGTTAGTTAGTTAGTTAGTTAGTTAGTTAGTTAGTTAGTTAGTTAGTTAGTTAGTTAGTTAGTTAGTTAGTTAGTTAGTTAGTTAGTTAGTTAGTTAGTTAGTTAGTTTAGTTAGTTAGTTTAGTTATTTAATTTAGTTAGTTTAGTTAGTTTAGTTAGTTAGTTAGTTAGTTAGTTAGTTAGTTAGTTGGTTGGTTGGTTGGTTGGTTAGTTAGTTGGTTGTATGGTTGATTGTATGGTTGGTCGGTCGGTCGGTCAGTTAGTTAGTTGGTTGGTTGTATGGTTGATTGTATGGTTGGTCGGTCGGTCGGTCAGTTAGTTAGTTCGTCGGTTGGTTGGTTGGTTGGTTAGTTAGTTAGTTAGTTAGTTAGTTAGTTAGTTAGTTAGTTAGTTAGTTAGTTAGTTAGTTAGTTAGTTAGTTAGTTAGTTAGTTAGTTAGTTAGTTAGTTAGTTAGTTAGTTAGTTTAGTTAGTTAGTTTAGTTAGTTAGTTTAGTTAGTTTAGTTAGTTAGTTAGTTAGTTGGTTAGTTGGTTAGTTGGTTAGTTAGTTAGTTGGTTGGTTGGTTGGTTGGTTGGTTGGTTGGTTGGTTGGTTAGTTAGTTGGTTGTATGGTTGATTGTATGGTTGGTCGGTCGGTCGGTCAGTTAGTTAGTTGGTTGGTTGTATGGTTGATTGTATGGTTGGTCGGTCGGTCGGTCAGTTAGTTAGTTCGTCGGTTGGTTGGTTGGTAAGTTAGTTAGTTAGTTAGTTAGTTAGTTAGTTAGTTAGTTAGTTAGTTAGTTAGTTAGTTAGTTAGTTAGTTTAGTTATTCAGTTTAGTTAGTTTAGTTAGTTTAGTTAGTTAGTTAGTTAGTTTACTTAGTTAGTTAGTTAGTTAGTTGGTTGGTTGGTTGGTTGGTTGGTTGGTTGGTTGGTTGGTTAGTTGGTTGGTTAGTTGGTTGTATGGTTGATTGTATGGTTGGTCGGTCGGTCGGTCAGTTAGTTGGTTGGTTGTATGGTTGATTGTATGGTTGGTCGGTCGGTCGGTCGGTCAGTTAGTTAGTTGGTTGGTTGGTTGTATGGTTAGTTTGTTAGTTAGTTAGTTAGTTAGTTAGTTAGTTAGTTAGTTAGTTAGTTAGTTAGTTTTTCCTCTTGAGCCTAAGGCGGCGCATAGAGCAGAGGTCATAGCTCTCCATGTCTGGCAGTTCGGTGTTTCTTTCGACATATTATGAAAAGGAATGGACTCGAAAGCTTGGTGGCGACTGGCAAGATTGATGGAAAGAGAGCAAGAGGAAGGCAAGGCGATAAATTCATGGATGGCTTGGCCAAATGAATGGGGCAAGGCAAGAACCGTGACCTGAACCATGATTCTGGTGATCGTGTGAGATGGTGAAAAATGAAAGCCTACGCCCACTGGCACTGCAAATAGTGATAATTGATGATATCGAATGGTGAAAATTGCAGTAACATATGATATAATAAAGACTATAATGAGTAGATGGTAGAGACAGACAATTGCTAATCCGATTACGTAAACTGGAAGTAGAAACTGCTGAAGCAATTCTATGTATATTTCGCTTACAATTGATAAACACATTTGCAAGCCTTTTTCTCTTGAAAACTGTCTGTTATATCGCAAGGATTTTTGCAAGCAGTCTTAGAATATCCATAGTATTCGAAGTCCGAATAAGAGGCATCGTAACCGACAAATGGGACTATCGCCCTAATTGGCTATTTTACCCAGGCCCATCATCTCACTATCAATCTTACCGTTGCCCTAAACAGAGGCCAGGCTATGTCATAAGTGATTTTTGTCTTACTGTACAATTACAGGTCTTCTCAGCTTTTTTTTCAACGAGACCAGCTTGATATCCATCAAAAGGTCGCCCTAATCACACACAAATTCTGGCTGGGGCATAAGTGACTTGGTTATTTTTACACAATTCAAAGTACGATTTTTTTTGTTAAATCAGTCAACTCGTCTAACCAAAAAAAGTCATTCCTTCAACTAGCTGTCTGCCCGACTGTTTCCACTGGTCGCCGGGCTGGTCGTACCATAAGTGACTGTAAAGTTGCTAGACTTGTCAACTGTTCTTCACTGAGGCTATCTTGCCGTCTTACACACTAGTCGTTCCTTCTGCGATCTGTTCAGACAACCGTTTCCGCTACTCGTCCGCCTGGTTGCATCGTAGCTAACAGTGAATTTTCTAAAAGTAAAAAAGACGATTTTCAAACACAGTCGGCTTGTCTGACCAACTAGCTGTCCAACCGACTGTTTCCACTAGGGCAATTTTCAAAGGCAGCCTGCCCGTTTAGCCAAATAGTCGCCCCTTCAACTAGCTGTCCAAACAACTGTTTCCACTAGTCGTCCGCCGGGTTGTATTGTAGGTCACCAGGATTTTCCGAAGAAGTAAAAAGGACGGTTTTCAAAGGCAGTCGGTTGTAAGCTCCGGCAGAAAGTCCTGGTTGTTCGTCCATTTGTACTTTGGCGTTGTGCCAAGGCATGAGTTTTGCCTGTACATCCGTTTCACTGACATGTATGTGCAGTTGGTTGTTTCTTGCCGCTCGGGCACGTTGTATTTACGTCACAGCTGAACCATCATGCACTTGTGGGTCCAGTACACGTCCGGCTGTATAAATCTGGAGCTGGCCGTGGTCTAGTACTAGGTACAGGTATAACGAATGTGATGTAATTGTTCGTATCTCCAAAAAACAAGTATAATACAGAATTTTAATACATGACCATGTGAACTAACATCATATTGGACAGACAAAAACAACACTGCAATTTGTTGAAGAATAATCTGAGAAGGAAATTCTGTTTTCAGTTATTTATTAATAAAAATGTTCTTCAAACCTTGCAACTGGGACACACACAGGAGTCTCGCTTCACTCAATTAAAACAGCTAACCATATCATTTTCACCGGGGAAACACCATAGGCCGATTCATCCATGGCACTATTGAACGAAATTAACCCATCTCATCTTTAAACTAAACCATCTCGTCAAGGCACAGTTTGATTGGGGATCAACCTCTCATTACTATGGCCTCTCATTACAGGTTATGTTCAGTTCAATGTCTCTATAGAGACACAGGGTGCGTTCGTTTCAGTACCTTAATACATGGAAAAATAAAAAACCAAAAGAAAAGTATATCAGTGAGCTTCACAATATAGCAAACACAAACAAAACGTAAACGATGCGGCTAAGGAGCCTTCTTCAGCACATACATAGATTAGACAATACTACACAAATACACAATATCACTTATCTTCGTATCTTGTGGCAGCCAGGTCGATGTCAAGGCATGTGGGACCGGGAAAATTAATATCTGGGGATATGCCAGGGTTTGTCACTCGAGTATAAGATTAAACAGTATAGACAGTTCAGCCCCCTAGGATTTAGATGAAGCTGTGTTGGCAGTTTAGTCCACTAGGTGCAAGATTTCCCAAAGTGTATATAACCCTAATACAGACAGGCTTTACAATGTTGGCTGGTCGCAGTGGATTGTCCTTTCTGACAGTGCCGTTTGTCCTTTTCTTGATTTTATCCTCCCACGTGTATCACTGTCTACCTCTTTGTTTACCCGTCCTCAGCCGCATCCTTTCAAGCAGAACAGTTCAAGAAGCCAGGCTGCACAAACATGGAGAGGTATCCCTGCAGCTTGGCACCAGAAAATGCTGAGCATATGCTCTAATGCTGTCAACTGTATGCTGCTAACAGAGATGTAATCTAGCCAGTTGCAACATCAAGGAAGACAAAGCTGTATGGTGCACAGAGAGATTGGACTACAGGCAGCTTTCATGAAGGTTAACGATTGAATAGTCAAAGTTTTCTGACACAAGGGTAAAAAAAAAGAAGAAGAAGAAGAAAAAGAAGAAGAAAAATGAAGAAGATGAAGAAGAAGAAGAAGAACTCATAAATTATCATGTGCATTCTCATTTTTTATGACCTTTGGAATACTTGTTATTAACTGAGTTAATAGGAATTTATTTTTGACAGTAAGCATTGTACATCTTAGTTTAGGGGCAAGACTAATGTACCTGACAACAAGGACAGTAAAGTGTTTTCCCCAGCACAATGACCGATGCCCCTCCAGACCCTTCACAGGATATGTGAGCAAATGGACAGTTGTTTTTGTTGGTATCAGTGTTGTAGTTATTGCAGTAATCTATGCCGATTTGTTTAGCACATCCGTGTGGGTGAGATACTACAACGAACAGAGGGATTTCCTGTTTCTGTTCGTCTCCATAGTCCATATTCCAGAACACCTCTTTTAATAAACAGAAACACTCATTGGATTTATCTACCTTTCTCACTAGCTTCCTGGCTAAATCCATATTGTGCGTCATATACCTCAAGCTGAACAAGCCAGACCCCTCTTTAGGATAATAGTACTCCATGTCAGTCAATGTTACAACATTGGAACAAAGAGCAGGTGTTTCACCTGAATCAAAGAACAGATGACATGTAGTGTGTTCTGCCTCCATCTGATCATGCACAAAGTGAGCACTCGATTCTATGTAAATATAAGCAAACTCTGTTTCTGGTGTTGGAGAGATCTGACATTCCTTACAGTGACAATGTTCGCTTATAATTGTGACACGACGAATCCCCCCACTCCCCATCCTTAACTGCTTACTTCCTCTGTGATTGTACCACGGATATGGGATGTCAGTCCCCGGGACAGTCTCAGGTCTCCCCTCACTGACATAACTGACTGACAAACGGACAGTTAGATCTGATAATACTCTGATTAAATTAAACATCTCATCTGCGCGGTAACAAGGCGGGAGATTATCTTGGCTGAACTGGTCGGCAGGAAAGAAATTCTGGTGACCTGGATTCTTCTGGCAGTTATCGTGACGTTTGCGCAGATCTTCCTTATCTGTACAATGGAAGTTATTTTCCCATGATCCTGCATGACAGATACAAATATCATCAGTTACGATATTTTCAAAACCAATCACAACCACCACCAGCATTCTCAAAGTTGGTAGCAAAAGCATGGTGGCTGCTACTGAAGTGAGGTCAAAAGTTAAGACCAGTGAAATGTAAATGTGGCACTTGACAAATAAATGAAACAAATATGTGGAAAACTAAATGCTGCAAGTGGAATAGAGAAAACCAACAACTGGATGAAATGCAGAGACCCATGTAATGTAGCTTTCCTAATGGTTATGCTCTAGTCGATGAACTAAACATGGTTCTCAAACACCAACAGGTGGAGATAACTCCACAATATGATGATTATTCATATGTGGATCTGAAAGGGAAGCATAGCTAATAGGACTAAGCCTTGTCATTTAGTGAGAAATTATGAAATTTATAATTTGCTTAAATAACCAATATGCGGCATCCGTGGCTTAGGCGTTGCAAGTCCGACTCGTAATCCAATGTACTGCATCCTGAGAGCTAACAGATTGAAATTACTGTGACAGAGAGAATAGCAGATGACAGATAGGCACAAATTGTGTACACAAGAGAGTTCAATGGAAGTAGATCATGAGGCAGACTAAAAGGACAGCGGTCAGATATGTACTTTCTTTACGTCCTTTTCAGGACGTGATTTTTTTTGTTATTTGAAGCCCCACTCTGGCTTTTTCCAGGGGCCGCAATATAGGCAGGCCATCAATATGGCCAATTGTCTGAACGCGGTTTCTGGGACCTCTCCACGGTGATCCTCATCCACATAATGGCACTTGTGTCATCGGGTGTTTATCGCTTGTGTGATGTCCTGGTGGGGTAGAAAGTCAGTCAGTCACCGGTCAGATAATATCCAGGCGGACTTAGCGCTGTGATTTTGGTCATAGGCAAGAGAGATAGTTAAGGCTGTTGTGATCAGTGATTATAAAGGATTATCATCACAGCACTCCGGACAGATCCATTGGTGCTCCGATCTCCTCCTCAAAAGCTCCACAGGTGTAAAACAACTGATGACGCCTGTTCTGTGTTGGTTAATTTCTTGCAGCTCCAGGCTGCACCCACATATCCATAAGTCTAGACAGGGATACAGAGTCATGTCCTTTAGCGTGCTCCTCGGTACAATAAATGCAGAGCATGGCACTGATAACATCACTTCTGTCCAGTACTGGACCAGTCATAGCAACTGCAGTGTCAGCAAGATAGTCTGCACGCTCAATCCCTTGAACACCCTCACACCCTGGCACAAAGATAAAGGCTAGGGCAGCTATTTGTGAAGTGCTTAGTGTTACAATCCATTCTTGCCTGATAAACCCAGCTTGGATTTTTTAAAGCATATTCATCGAGTCACTAAGAATCCATACATGCGTGAACTTGTGAGTACCAAGCCATGCTAAAGCCCGTGTTACAGCCATAGTTTCCATTGTAAGGCTAATAGTTGTAACAGCAAAGGCGCCAATTATCTCCTTGAGGGTTTTCCCCCTTGAGATTACTGTGAATGCTCACGCACTTCGCTTGCCCCGAATTACTGACCCATCTGTGTAAACAATAGCATCACCTTCATCTGTGTTTTCATCAATCAGTTACATGGGAAGACATTAACCAGCATGAAAGACCATGTCGCACGTACTGTAACAGCTTGTAACTGGAGGCTGGCATCTTGCCATCTAGACATGTCAACTTCATGGGTTTTGACATTATATATGACTAGAATAGCCTGTCCGCGGTGTAGCTTGTTCTGAAATGTATGAAATCCTGTGAGTTTCAGCATATTGTCACCTAGGAGTTTTTCTTGCAGCGCAACCACCTCAGCACTATATATTAATTTGTCCAGGATAGGTCGCCTTTGTTTACACTGGCACAATTCCAGTTAAAAATTTGAACATTCGTCCGACCTATCCTTTTCGATTTCAGCAGTGATTTTTCTGGCCCCAGCACGTTTTACTTTCTGATTATTTTTGCGGCACGATTGGTGTTTTCTGCGCTACCTCCTTTTAATATGTAAATCACTGTTACATATATGTGGAACAAGTGAAGAAGATCTCAGCTCAAACGCACGTACTCCGTCGCGGAAGCAAGAATCCTGGACCTATATTTTCACATGCGACTGGCCGCAGAGATTGTCAATGTTGTTGCTAAGGCCGCCATGACGTGTTAACTGAGCAAGCTTAATGTATGTCACTGTCAACAATTTATACTTTTGACAATGCTACAACTTTGTAGTGATGTTTCCCGGTCATCAGTTTCACTGTCTTATATTGTTTCTCTGCATTAGCTGTGTGCCTTTGTTAGATCTGCAACTAACTGTTTCATCTGCACAAGATAGAACTGAATGAAGGACTAGACTGTAAGCCCTTTGTGACATATAAGGGGACACAAAGGCAGATGATGATGATAGTGGCGTCTGTTTCAGTAGCGTTTTGCTTGACTTATTTCTTCCTTTTCCTCCCATTATTTTGGCCGATAAACATGTAGGTGTTTCTTCTTGTCTTATAGTGATATAAAGCTATGTATATTATTTACTTTTTGATTACAGCAGGTTTTTTTGGGGAGTGGGGGGGGGGGGGGGGGGGGTTGGGGGGGGGGGGGGTTAAAGTTTTAGAACATGTATATCTGTCTAGAGTTCAATCTAACTGCTTTGTGTCATTGATGATGAAGTGACAAAATTGTGGTAGCTGCAGTTATTCTCGGTTTTATTAACAAAACTGAATGGTTTCATTGGATGCATATGGATAATTGGTGTTCACTTTTCTTGGCATTTTTAACAACTTTGTTCAGAGTAATAACTACAACAAACCTGTCTCCTGTGCCAATGTTTTGACAGTTAGATTACTTTTCTTCTTTTTATATTCTGTGAATTTCAAAAAAATATATATATATATTACAAAAATAAAAACAATATTTTTTTTTTTTGACTGTGTAAATAACATTTTCATAATGATCATAAAACCAGTTATAGAAATAATTAATCTAAAGCGCAAAAGCTCACAAACACACAGAGACAGATATAGGCATAATGCAAGAAGTTGCCCAACATGTCATCAATCTCAGCAAGTCAAAAGCCAATATGTCATCAATGTCGGGAAGTCAAAGGATAATTCAAACAAAAGTAAATTTAAAGAAGAAAAAAAAATTATTGTTAAGTAATCTTCTTGATGAGAATTCAGAAATACAGAATTAGGTGTCAAACTTGAAAAAAGCAATGCTAACCACACTAAAACATAAATGTACAAGCAAAACAGTGGACAAGTCACATTTAACCTCTCTTACCTGAATGTACACACCTGGGCATACACAATTTTTTTTTTTTTTTTAGTAATGAATGAACATATCAGCTAGTGAGTATTGCACCACTGCATGCAAGAAGTTGCAAAGACAGAGCAGAGATCATCAACGCCTTACGAACTAAACTGGTGGATAGTAATCAACCTATAAACATAACATGATTGCATCATATCAGGGTGATGTCTGGTTGGGGCCATCTTTGAGGTCAAGATAGGAGACATTTTAACCAGCTTTTCACTGGAACAACCGATAGAGGTATCTTAAGGTGGATTCGCCCCGGAGGACTGAGCATGCATGGGAATGCCCAGTGTGGAGTGATGTCAACTGTAATAATGCAACAAAACAATTCATTTTTTTAATGTGTTTCATTTCTTGTCATCATTCTGCCGACAAAGTTAAGCACAGTAATGTCCTTTGTTATCTATTGTGATTGGACTTGTAAAGCTGAGGTTTACTTTATGCTTTTCCTATTTATGTGTGTGTGTGTGCAGGCGCTCTCATGTATGTGGGTGGGAGTGTGTGTGTGTGTGTGTGTGTATGTGTGTGTGTGTGTGCCCCTATCTGGATACAAGAATGTATGTATCTTTATACACATGTCTGGTAGTCTTAGTTTTAGCTTCATAGCAAAGAGGTCACCCCATCTTTGCTCCGCTCCTGTGCCAACGAAAAACACACAGAATGTTTATCACAGTCCCTTGTGGAAAGATTGACAGACTGCTGTCTCAGCATATCTAGCATACACACGCGTTAAAGCATACGGCCCCATCCGAAGTGCTAACACAAACAGTCCGACATTAGAAATGCAGTTCATCATTGATGGTAGCAGGTCACCAACAGATCAGCAGTTGCCCACGCGATCAATTTTAATCACATATGGGCACCACCAACATTGCGACGACAGGCATCACGCCATTTTACTGAATCTACAATTCACACCACCACGTTAGTCACAGTAAAAAAAAACATTCCAAATGAAATCTGCAGCTCACAGTGTCACGCTATGCATTCAACTCAGAAGCTGGGCGACGAAGCTATATGCAGTCTACAAATGGAGCAAAAATGCATGCCTCGGCTCCAAACAATGCCCCTGCCTAACGTCCATTTTGACCAGAATTATATACACATGTAGACTAGTATACTCACCTCTTTTAACTTGGCAATAATTTGTAACTGACTGCTCATCATATGAACCACAATGGCTTCCTGAGTAGTTGTAGCATATTCCATCCACTGTCTTGTTGGGAGGCTCGTATGGTATGCAGATGTGAGCCCCACTAGACCCAGGACAAGAAGCTGTTGTGTAGAGAAAGGAAACAACTTTTGGGTTACTGTTGACTACACCAGTGCAGTGACCTATGCTGATGTGTTTCCTACATCCATGGGGGTGTGATACTAAAAATAACAATGGCTTCTTTTCAACAGAGGTCAGTCTACGCTTGTAGACATCGACCAGGGGGAGGTCGGTAAAGAATGCATCTCTTAGCTTATCTCTAAGTTTCACTCTCTGCTCAAGTCTACGTGCCAGATCCAGGTCATGGGTGAAGTGCTTCAAGTAACACCAGTCATTGTCAATTTCAGAACATCTTGAATACATACCCTTTAGTGTGACGACACCACTACAATTGTACGGTGTACTTCCACTATCAAAGAACAGGTGGCATGTTGTGTGAGCTCCTTCAAGATCATCAAAGACAACATGGGTTGCAGTTGTTATGTTGATGATTGCAAAGTTTGTCTTTGAAACTGAAGACTTCTTACAATCCTCACACTCACAAGTGAATCCTTTGTTGTCACAGAATATTTGCACTGAGTGAACCCATCCCGACCCCACTGTCATTTTCTTCTGACCCCTGTAATCATAAACTGGATATGGCATGTCACTTCCAGGAACAGTCGCTGGCCTCCTGTCACTGACATACTCGACTGTGACACGAACTGTCAGATCTGAGTCAACTCTAATATAATCCATTAAATCCTGGTCACGGTTGCCCTCTGGAAGATCATTTATAGTGAACTTGTCTACAGGGATAAAGTTTTTGTGACCAGGATTCTTATGACATTTATTGAAATGTTGGTGAAGTTCAGCCTCTCCCCCATAACTGTATTCGGCTTCCCATGGACCTGGTAGAGAGAGAAAATCTTGTTACGTACAATATTACGTCATGGGTGGATAATGCTGGTAGACAGAAATAGGAAAACTTGTCATGGATAATATTACATAATCAATGTATGGTGTCAATAGATAGGTAAGATCTTGTCATGGATACTATTACATCATCAATGTATGGTGCTAGTAGATAAAAATTTGTGCATGGCCATAAACTTAACGCTATACGTCATCAGTGGATAATGCTGGTAGACAGAAACAAAAAAGCTTGTCATGGATAATATTACTTTATCAATGTATGGTGCTAGTAGATTAATATTTGTGCATGGCCATAAACTTAACCGTACATGTGTCTATTCATTATCTCTGGCTGATACTTGTTCATCTCTTGATATTATCACGCCACTGGTATCCTGTCTACTTCTTGCTCAATTATCTTAAAAAAAATTCCCATAAGTAATGTTTTTAAAAGAGGATTATGAATGTTAATGTACAGTCACTGTGTATAAATCATGGGGAAATAAATACATCCATGTTTAGAAACTGTAAAAACATGTCTGCACACCTGTTGGGTGTTCAATGTCCAGTACTGCCATAGCTACATATGTTTCAATGTCCAGTGTTGACATATCAGGATATCCTTCAATGTCCAGTGTTGACATATCAGGATATGTTTCATTGTCCAGTGTTGGCATATCAGGATATGCTTCAATGTCCAGTGTTGACATATCAGGATATGTTTCATTGTCCAGTGTTGGCATATCAGGATATGCTTCAATGTCTAGTGTTGACATATGAGGATATGTTTCAATGTCCAGTGTGAACATATGAGGATATGTTTCAATGTCCAGTATTGGCATATCAGAATATGTTTCAATGTCCAGTGTTGGCATATCAGGATATGCTTCAATGTCCAGTGTTGACATATCAGGATATGTTTCATTGTCCAGTGTTGGCATATCAGGATATGCTTCAATGTCTAGTGTTGACATATGAGGATATGTTTCAATGTCCAGTGTGAACATATGAGGATATGTTTCAATGTCCAGTATTGGCATATCAGAATATGTTTCAATGTCCAGTGTTGGCATATCAGGATATGTTTCAAACTCCAGTATTGGCACATAAGGATACATTTCAATTTCCAGTCCAGTTTTCATATATCAGGATATGTCTCAATGTCCAGTACTGGCATACAGGATATATTTCAATGTCCAGTACTGGCACATCAAGATATGTTTCATTGTCCAGTACTGGCATATCAGGATATATTTCAATGTCCAGTACTGGCATATCAAGATATGTTTCATTGTCCAGTACTGGCATATCAGGATATATTTCTATGTCCAGTACTGGCATATCAGGATATATTTCTATGTCCAGTAATGGCATACAGGATATATTTCAATGTCCAGTACTGGCATATCAGGATATATTTCTATGTCCAGTACTGGCATATCAAGATATGTTTCATTGTCCAGTACTGGCATATCAGGATATATTTCAATGTCCAGTACTGGCATATCAAGATATGTTTCATTGTCCAGTATTGGCATATCAGGATATATTTCAATGTCCAGTAATGGCATACAGGATATATTTTAATGTCCAGTACTGGGATATCACGATATGTTTCAGTACCCAGCAATGACATAGCAGAATATCTTCCAATTGTCAGTATTGGCATATCATCATATGCTCCAATGTCCAGTATTGGCATATAGTTAGACCTGTTTCAGTGATTACTGTTGTGATGAAGCCCCAGCTGTGTCAAATGTTTACCTAGCTTTTAATTGTAAAATCAAAATAAGTCAAATGTCTGCTGTTGAACTAAGTAAAATACCCTCAAGAGAAGTTGAATGTAAAATCTAAATAGTTAAATGTCTGCTGTCAAATAAACTCAAGAGATGTTGATGGTAAAATTAAAATAAGTCAAATATCTACAAGAGATGTTGATAGTAAACATAAAAGTATTAAGAGATTTGAATTGTAAAAGCCAAGATCTGAGGAGGTAAGCCAGTGAACTCAGGTCTTGAAACTTTGACCTTGTTTTTGTGTGAGACCAACACTATAGAGGCTACGAACAAGGCAACAGAAGTTGATAAACAGACAGACAGCAGGTTAGTAGTCAGACACTCAAATATACATATAAAGCAGGAAGAATAAATGTCCAGTAGTCAGTAAAATACACAAAGAAATAAACAATTACACAGACAACACAAATTATACAGAAACATTTTGTAACAAGAAAAAAACCCACCTTGATTCTCCCTGTCCCTACTGGCAAGCATCAGTGTGTCTGTAATGTCCATGACTGATGGGATAGACAAATATTTATCATTACTATCCTCATCTATCACAGTTTGTTACAATGAGACCCAGTTGGTTCAGACAATTTTACAATCAACATTCTGTAGAACTGTTAGAACAGATACACATTCTAGTAGTTCGATGATATCATGTTCAACCTGTAATGATAAGAACACGTGAGGGACTAGTACAGATAATTTTGAGAAACCTCCGGTGGTTGACAAAGTTTTTCAACCCCCTGCTATAATGTGCAGGAAAGAAGAACTTCTGAATCAATGGCTCAAGTGACTCAACAGATTTGTCTAGGGAAATATCCCGAGAAGAAAATATATTTTTCAGAGTTTCCTTATCCTGAAGTGAGGAGTTAAATGATCAGCATTATTCTTCTCATCATTAATAAAGATAAAGATATGCTGTGGGCTTATTATCTAACTGGGGTTACCTCACTATTCATTTATTGCCCCCAAGAAACTTAAACATTAAAGTTTTCCTTTCTCTGTTTGATTCAGACATATTATTCAAAGATAATCTCAGGATAACAAAGAAAATGTTAGTTTTAATAAATTATGTGAAATTTCGATAGATGTGTCTTTTTCTGCAGATAAATATTCTCTATCAACTCTTCATTTTAAAAGAAAACATGTTAAATTGTCAAATTTCATTATTATTTGCTACATATTTTTTATTATCCTACTAACAAAATTCACTGAATAAAATATATCATATTTTCATCATAGGCCCATTGCTGCAGTGCTGCACTGGAATATCATTTCTTCTGATTTTTACATCACCTTAACTTTCTTGTATAAGTCTTCAATGTTCTTTAGATGTTTTATACTTGACAGACCATCTTTTCAGATTTCCGTATTGCTTCATTTTGTTTTTCGATCAGCTTCAGATGTTGCTTTCATCATTCATTACATCAGATGTTGACATACTCAGGAGTTTGTGCTTAGCATTATTAAAAGTCTCAAACTGGCAGTTCACTTTTTCCTTACATCTTTCATTTCTCTCCGATGATGTCCTTTTTTCTCGATGTTTTCCTTACAAATGTGCTGCTCAGCTAAGGGGTCGGTAAGGATGACGTTCTATTTCTTCATCCCTACCACAGATTAATCGATCAATCAGTTAAGGTGAGTTTAGTTTAGTCAAGAATTGACATCACAGCACTCGGGGCATTCTTATGTGTGCTCCGTCAAAATCTTCAGCAGCCATGGCAGAGTTCCAATACTGATGGAACCAGTCACAATCTGGTTATATGTCCGTCTTGCCTTTCCTCTGAGTGTAGTGAGCCTGCCAGATCCTCTGGTTACACCCAGGTGCCTCATTCTCTCCAGGCTTTAATAATCTTGTTTCTCTACTAATTCCGTCGCTTGTTCCCAAAGGGCCTTGACCACATCTGTCTTGTTATGTATTAATTCACCACCTAGTGGTGCAGATCCAGCCAATCTGTCTGCCTGTTCATTAACCACTACGCCAGCATATTTTGGAGAAAAGATCCAAAGTATGCTCACTACCCGTGACCTTCCCAGTGAAGCTTGTAACTCCTTGAAGCATCCATGTCTTTACCTTTCTCAGCATGCTTTCAGAGTCAGTTCAATTTCAGGGTCGATCAATGAAAATCACAAGTATGCAAAGCATCATTGTTTGTCATACCCATGAATACTTTCAAATTTATTTGTGTTAACAAGACGGCTTAGAGGATAAATAGAAATGGGAAAAAAAGGTCACTTCATGACAAACCCTTTGAAAAATGAAAATTCAGTGAAAAGGATTGTTTTCCATTTCATATATGCTGATTTATCTTTATCATGAACAACAGGCAGCCATCAGAGCAGCTGGTGAAACATCAGATTGCTTCAAGGTTCAAAAGGGAGTGAGGCATTCTCTCACCATACCTATTCAATATATACGCAGAAAATATAATGAAAAATGTCAAAAATGACCAGACTTGTGACAGTTATGATCCGCTAAAAATTGGTGGCAACCCTATTCCTTAACTTCGTTGTGCAGATGACACAGTCCTCCTTTCGAACAACGTAAAGGGAATAGAAAATTTAATACTGTCTGTCCAAAAGCACAGTGAAGATCAAAATCTGTTCTTGAATTTAAGAAAATAAAAATAATGTCCACACATAAAACTGTCTGTCACTCAAAAATAACAATAAATGATAAAGAAATTGAAAATGTCACAAACTTTGAATATCTAAGCTCTATAATTAATAGCAATGGAGACTGACAGAAATTAAAAGGAGGATGACCATAGCAATGCAAAGATTAAACAGCCTCAAAAGTCTTTGGTTAAGCACCAACAACAAGATCAAAATACAAATTTTAAGAGCGTGCATCTTCCCTGTAGCAACATACGGATGTGATTCATGGACTATCTCCCAGTCCTTAAGAAAGAGAATAGGAGCTTTTGAGCTGAAATGCTATAGAAAGATTCTCATAATATCTTGGACAAAGCAGAGGAGAAATACTGACATCTTGAAAGATCTGAACATCAAGGAAGATTGGCTAATAAACAGCATCCTGTCTCGGATACTGCAATATTTTGGTCATATCAAGCACCACGACGGATTGGAAAAAAATATAGCAGAAGGCATAGTACCAGGTAGGAGGGGCAGGGGCCGACCGACACGAAGATGGACACAGGATAAATGTGACTCCTTGAGTATAAAAGTATATGAGGCGGGAGAATTGGCGAGAGACCGAGTTTCTTTCAGGCAGACTGTAATGAGAGCGACGTTCTGCAAAGACCCTGCTACATGATAATGATGATATGCTGATTTAACTCTGGGCAATGAATTGTTTTGTCAGCGTTATTTAAATTATTATTATTTTATAATTCTCATTTTATTGTTAACTGGGCATCTTATTTTTAGTTATATTTCTTGCTGTGGCAAAAAAGAAAATACATTATTAAGCACAGTATTTTGCTATAACAAAATTTTTTTTTTTTAATTTCTGCTTCACTTTATCCCCCTAATACAGCAGTTCTCACCCTATGGGTCACGAAAGCAAAGTTTATTTGGTGTCTGTGTTCTAGTGTCATTTTGCTAATTTACCTTAGAGTGAAAACAGCATCAGTAAACCCTCTTCCTTTCCTGAATCCGACCTGTGCTGGGCTCAGAAAAGGTTCTACAGCAGATCTAATTCCTTGTTCCAGAATCTTGATAAACATTTTACCTACGTGAGAGATGCCTTAATAAGTGTTTCAGCCTTGCTTTTTGACTTTTTTTTTCCATATTGGTACTATAATGGTTCTTTGCCAGTCTACTGATACAGTTCTTTCATTCAAGGCTTTCCTAAATATACAGAGTAGCCAGGTGATTCCAGTTTCTGCACAGGTCGGTAATGCCTCAGCTGTAATTCCATCAACACCAGTGGCGGGTTCTTTCTTGGGTGCCTTATTCTTCTTCTTCGCGTTCACCAGCTGTACACTCTGGCGGAAAGTTCTGGTTGCTCGTCCACTACTGAACTGCAGTCCTGCTCCAGAACCTGAGTGTTGCGTGTGCATCAGTTTTACATATCTCATTCTCTTGGATACAGACTGTTGGTTCCTTGCCTCTCCGGCAGATGCACTCCGACTTCAAAGGAAGCTACCTAATTAGTCGACTCTTACGACATGTTTTTGGGGAGGCAGTGGGTCTATTCTTGTTTTCACCACAATGGGGCCCCGGAACCCACACGGGGGGGGGGGGGGGGGGGGGCTTATTAATATCCTACCCCAAACAGAGGAAATCCACAGGTCAAGGGACAGTCTAATATTTGAGGGAGTGGTAGATGGGCTGCAGCCGTCATGGGTCCTAGGCTGCATGCAGTCATGGGACCTAGGCTGCATGCAGTCATGGGACCTAGGCTGCATGCAGTCATGGGACCTAGGCTGCATGCAGTCATGGGACCTAGGCTGCATGCAGTCATGGGACCTAGGCTGCATGCAGTCATGGGACCTAGGCTGCATGCAGTCATGGGACCTAGGCTGCATGCAGTCATGGGACCTAGGCTGCATGCAGTCATGGGCTGCACTCTCTTGTGGGACGTAGGTGGGTTGGGGTTAGGGCCAGCTCTAGATGTTTTGGGGTCGTTAAAAGCAAGCATCAGAAAGCAAAGAAACCTTATAAGTATATATCCCCTACGTCCTTCTTAGGACGTAATTTTTTGTTATTTGAAGCCCCACTCTGGCTTTTGCCAGGGGCCGCAATATAGGCAGGCCATCAATATGGTCAATTGTCTGAACGCGGTTTCTGGGACCTCTCCACGGTGATCCTCATCCACATGGTGGCACTATGTGTCATCGGGTGTTTGTCGCTTGTGTGATGTCCTGGTGGGGTAGAAAGTCAGTCAGTCAGTCAGCAAAGAAACCCAGTCGTACCACCCTCTAAAACGTTGGACGGTTCTGTGACGTCATCTGGGGGTGAGATATTACGAAAGAACCCAGCGGCCTTACTAGTAATCTACTATTTATTGCCTTTTTTTTTAAACTAAACAAGGAAATAAGTGTCTAAAACCACGGCCAACTCCAGTCCAGTATTAGAGAAGGCAGTGTCTAAAACATAGATGATGCAATTCACCACAAATGTCTATAATAGTACTTTACTATTTTAAACATTTTCCCCACAGAAAAGTGCCGGTAATGCTTATCCTGCATATGTATAATTTACAAGCATCCTCTGCTATATATTGGAAAATAAAGATGGAAATTTACATCACAGTAGCAAACTTGTTGCTGCGGTCATGAAAGTACGTGAAATCAATCAGAATAACTTACCTTGTAAACAACAATCTTACCTAAACACGCTTGGGGAGGAGGGGGGGGGGGGGGGTTCACTCCTCAGTTATAATATAATACATCAGACGAGCTGTTTTATACCAGTTAATGCAAAAATGTACTTAGAGGAGCAAGGAAAACAAACATGAAATAATCTTCCTGGTTCTTCTCTCGCAACAAACGTTCTATCTAGTCATCTTGGGTATTCCCGCTGGTGTGACGTCGGTCCAG